CTGCTGTCACGGAAAAATTACTAATAATAATTTTAAAAATGTCTCAAGCCAGTAACTTGCTGGTATCACCAGAGATGAAAAGAGAAAATAACAAAATTGGATAGAAATCCTGCTGCGATGAGCCACTCCAAGCCATTTATACCTTTAACTCGGCATGTTAGGCGTTCCGCCATTGATGTCAAACTAAACCACGGCCGTCAAGCAATTCCGAGCGTGGTTAATATTTTGCAATTAAATTATGGCTCCTTAAGGCGCACTGCAGGTCGGGACTATATATCTCGCACTCATGCGCCCTAACCGGGAGCGGAAATTGGCCAAAGTCCGCCGAGCTTCAATCAAATATCGCTACTAGTATCACTAGTAGTAGTACTAGTCTATGCAACACAAACTTGAATGTAATATATGGCAAATATCATTATGGGATATTCAATAAATAACGAAGTCTAGTGCGTGAATTCCGATGTTTATTGTTCAAGATGATCAACTTGAAGACTTGGGGCTGGAGTGGTAGTACCAAATATGTACTAATAGTACGAGTAGTACTGCATGTTTCAAGGTTTAGGATGCTATCATTATACTACTAGTAACCGGCCGGTGCCGCCTTAGTACTAGTAGTACTATCTACATAGGTATACGTAATAGGTAGCAATAAAGTACTACTACTACTACTACTACTATGGGTATTTAAATCAATCACTGGCATGTGCAAACCTTGGAACACCTGGGCAATCGGAAAATATTCCCGAGTCCACAGATCCAACGTCTACATAAAGTTGATTGGAATGATGGGCGTCACTGCGTCAGATAAACCTCCCGCTTTTCACGGAACAATAACACAGCTTAGGTATCCAGTCAGGGGACAATTTTACGTACGAGACTGATAGAATCGATCTCATTTTAGCTAGTGCGGGTCTAAATTTATTTTTTAGAAGTACTGACTCGGAGGACATACAGTTGGGGATCGGCAATGAATCAAGGGCGTTGTCTCGTTGCATCGAATTGGGAAATACCACAACAACCATGCAACACTAGGCAACTAACCCTAGCAACCATCCAATCTAACCATATTGAACTTTGAATCAAGCCACCACCATTTAGTTGTACTCCAATGTTCTGTAAAAGTGTATACTGACTATAAACGTATGTAACTATGTCATTATACTATGTATAGTGAGGCCCTAAGCCCTAACCCGATCGGGCAACTTTCAGGGGCTTCGCGGGCCCCTGATTAATCACTTAGCCGCGCGCAAGGGGCGCTTGTTTGGGAGCAACCTCCTTTTGGCTTCATGTCTGGGGATACTTGGAGATTCAAACATTCAAACAGTCCTTTCCTTTCTTATTCTGATGTCGCTCTGGCAGTAGTTTCTCTTCTCCGCCTCGCCCTTAGTGCTGCGACTTGAAGTGCAGCCCAGCCACCCCACCTTTGTTGTTTAAGGCGCAGTCTTTCTTTTACGGGCCGATCAGTTCCAGGGACTCCGCGGTGAATCCAAATTACTTTCTCAATCTCGCAGCGCTGGCCACGGGATTTTCTTTTTCGCATACTCTTATCTTTCCGTCCGCTTTACGCCAAATAGCGCTGGTTCAACGATCCCTCCTTCCCTCGACTTCTTTTGTGTCACTCGCGTCTCCGCCTCCTCACCGCCGATCCCACGTTCATTGCATCTTGCACCATGACGAGGCCTCAGATTATACGCGCTGGTATGTTTTTTCGTCGGAGCTATATCCGCCTTATGAACCTGCGCTTGATTGCAACTTCCCATGCTGACCCCGACTACCCTAGATACACTGGACCTCCAAGACCATGATGCACCGTCTGCGAAGGATCACACAAAACAACCCGAAGCACCAGCTCCTCTAGGGGGCGGCCGGCCTGCCCCCCACCAAGAATCGTCGATTCGTCATGCGGAAGAGGATTCGAAAGCGGAGATAATGGGTGGACCGGGAGCGGGTGGACATGGGCTGTATGAAGATGGGGACGATACGGAGGATGATGATATGGGATCAAATGGACATTACGATCATGAAGACGGCGATTTGGCCGATGGCGAAAGCGACGATCTTCTTGATGATGATCTAATGGATAAAATCTCCAGTTCTCCCTCGATTGATGATGGTAAGGTCCTCGGGAGTGGTCACTATGCGGGGAGCCTGAGACTAACTGCAAGCAGAGGATATTGACTTCGAATTTGTCTACGCTCTTCACAATTTTGTCGCAACTGTTGATGGACAGGCGAATGCCTCAAAGGGAGACACCATGGTTCTTCTGGATGATAGCAACAGCTATTGGTGGCTGGTTCGCGTGGTCAAAGATGGAAGCATTGGTAGGCCCAGAGCTCTTGAAAACCCCTTGAACAACACTGACATCAATCAGGTTACCTCCCGGCGGAGCACATTGAAACACCTACCGAGAGGCTCGCCCGATTAAACAAGCACCGTAATGTCGATGTATGTCTCAATGCCCTATCCGTCAATTGGACCCGCTCTAACATTAGCAGCTCTCGGCGACCATGCTTGGTGATAATTCCGAAAAGTCTAAGAATCCTTTGAAAAAGGCGATGCGCCGACGGAATGCGAAGACTGTTAACTTCGCACCCCGACATACATCGAAGCCTCAGACGTTGAGTACTCATCGGACGACGATTCCGAGCATGGCGACTTCTTCAATGATGACGAAACCGTTGAATCGGAAGAAGGGGACGCCCAGGAACAGACTGAAGATATTGTGGTGGAACCCCTCAGACCCAAAGCGCAGAAGGAAAAGCCTGCAGAGCAGGCAGAGGAGGCGGAACTACAAGAGAAACAAGAGCCGGAGCGTTCGATTTCGGACCCCCAACGCTCCAGCGAGGAATTCTTCGACCCAGAAGGTAAGCAATTAACTGGCGGCCCTCGCCATTCGAACGAGAACGGAATCCTAACTTTGATCTATTACCAGAACCCACCGTCAGTAGATCCAGAAATGGTACTGTACGGAACACGGACTCCTTCTTCAAGGACGACACTGCCGAACCGAAGAAAATATCTCTTACACCTAACTTGCTGCGCGATGAGGCCAACAACAAGAACAACAATAATGGTCTGGCTGAGTGGAAAGAGGTAGGTTGTCACCAAACCCCCAATTATAAGATAATATCTAACATCTGTGAAGCCCCGTGGAAGTATGGAAAGTATCGAGAGTAAATTGTCTTCTCAGGATAAGGTGAAAGAAGAGAAGAAACGCAAAGACAAGAAGTCGGGAATGCTCAGTGGACTGTTCAAGAGGAAAGACAAGAAGGGCAAATCAATCGACGATTATGAAGAGGCCGAAAGGTCTCCAGCAGAGTCGAATTTCCGAGCCTCGCCGCAACCGAAGACCTCATCCGAGTCCCTTTCGCCGGAACAAAGACCATCCAAGTCTCAGAAACAAGCCACCAACAAACTACAAAAGCAACCCCCAGCGACAATGTCACCAACGAGAGTCGAGGGTCAATTTGCGACAGAGGCGGCCAAGGATGCGAGCCAATCCGGGCAGTCTATCCGTCGCGTGGCATCGGAGGAATCGGGCAACATGGAATCCAGCCGAGGAATGGTGACATCCCCTGTCAGCCAGCCCAGCCAGCCCAGCCCTTCAAAGGAATCGTTTGCAACTGCCGAATCCAGAGAACAACTGGTTTCTCCGATCGAACGATCGTCCAGCGAAGGACAATGGCGAGGAACATACGAACCCAAGACGACAGTGCAGCCTTCCGTGGTCTCACCACCACAAAAGTTGATGCCAAGAGTGGTCACCGACTACGATCGAGCGATGGGCGTGGAGTCCCCCGTCGATGTTTCTCCTGTGGGAGAGCATATTCCCATCGCCGCCCCGGGGTTGACGGCAGATGCCGGACCATGGACGCACTCCACGTCTCCATTCTCACCTCCGTCGTCTCCTGAAGTCGACGTGAATGACCTGAAGAGTAGCGAGGCTGCCCCAGGTTCTGTGGACACATTTTCAGATACCCCGACCTGGAGTGACGCTAGCTTACGAACCTACATGGACGATGAAAATGACATTCGCGACCTATTCATTATTGTCCACGACAAGTCCAATATTCCCCCGGCTGGGACTGATCATCCGGTTACTGGTCGCCTTTTCAAGGAAGAGAGCAAACGTCTAAAAGAGATGAACAATCAACTCGACGAGATGCTTGTAAACTGGATGTCCCAGCGAGCGAGGAACAACAGCCTGCGAAATGCGCAGAGCCCCACCGCTTGATTCGTCTAATGTATATCAATCTTTCTCTACCAATGTATCTGTGGATATATTCATGGGCCTGTCGAGTTGTCCTGGAATGACCAGGAAATTGTGCTGGGCACATCAGCTCCGACTGGCCTTGTTACATTCTTTTTCTTCTTCAACTTCTCTTTTCTTCATGCAACCCCAATACACCCGATTACTCCTTTGGTCGCATTTATCCCCCCCCCCCCCTCCGCCAATCGACGCAATTTTGACGACCTGCCTTGTTTCGTTCCATTACTGAGAAGCGACCTGTGATTCCTAGTTGATCAACAGTCAGCACATTCTTTGCCTTGGATTCCTTTTTGTGCATTTGATTTTCTGATTTTCGCCGGAATACCCCGAGTCATCCGAGTCATACTTGTTTTGCTTTCTCTCCTTTCCCTTCATAGTTCATCTTCTTGACGATGACGTATCCCAATACCATGTTGTCTTTCCGTCTTCAATCATGCACCGACATTTCCAGTAGCCAGAATCAAGCGTAGTAGAATGAGGGGCATGACCCCCTCATTAGACGCCTGGTGCAGAATCCCTGCAATTCTGATTGGAGGTAAGCGCATGCCAAAGTTCCTGCACAGCAAAAGGGTCGTGCGGGCAGGTCAGCCGCACGCATGATGTTATGCCTCCCGCCTGACAGTCACTGACAATTTACTTAGTATAAGACATTCTATCTCTCTCTCTCTCTCTATCTCTCTTTCTACCGTCTCGAAACGCCTTTCATTTCTCTCACATTTACCTCGCAGCTATGGCGGACCCCTACAACCCCTACACTTCATACCCAACGCCTACTCCCGGTGGGGTCAGTTACTACCCCCCAGCCCCGGAGGAGCAATCTCACCAGCAAGGCGCATATCCGCACCAGCAGCCCCCATACAGCAATGTCGAGTATGGTGGTGTGGCATCGCCAGACCAAAACTACAATTATGCTCCGCAGTCGAGTCAATACCACCTTCAGCCGGAAGGATGCCAGAGCAATGCGCCCAACAGAAGTTACACGCCGGTAGGACAACCAGATCATCTCGGTCCGGTCAGCGCTCCAGGGATGCCAGCTCAGGGCAGTGGAAAGGTCCCCGAGAATGCGGGATACTAGTACGTCAACGAAGTGTGAGAGTTGCATAGCACCAGCAACAGAAAGCTGACTCGTTTAAAGCGATGGCCACCCAGCCGATGAACCGAGATACACACCATCACACAGCCCGCGCCCACCCCCGGTGTACGTGTCGGAGGCAGATAATACCCGACCTCACGACAAGGAGAGTCGGGACTCAAACCGGGGTGCAGAAGATCTCGAGGGCGACCGTGGATTTGGAGGATCTCTTGCTGGTGGAGCCGCGGGTTATTACTTCGGACATAAGAAAGAGCATGGTCTTCTGGGTGCGATTGGCGGGGCGATCATCGGAAACTTACTTGAAGACAAGACGAAGAAGCATGAGAGGCCCCCCTCGCCATCCGTATCGTCGCATGCTAGCCATCATAGTCACCACGGTCACCACAGTCACCACAGTCACCATGGAAGTGATCATGGAAGTCATCACGGCAGTCATCATAGCAGTCACCTCAGTCACATCGGTCACCTTGGACATGAGCACCACCACCATAGTCACCACCGACATAGTCGGAGTCGAAGCCATTCACGACACCGTGACGAAGACGATTACTGAATATGCGTTCAGGATTTTATGACATAGAGGCGACGATGATTTGATTTGAGATGATGGATGGCTTTTGATTCTTCCTTGTTGTGTGACTGATGCAAGACCAAGTATCGATGCCAGTGGCGTGTTAGCATATTCTTTCCCAGCCAGAATGATGGTTGCGGTGCTTTTCCCTTTCTTTTTATTCAATCTCGAGGTTCATTATGAAGAGCTCCTTATGATGAACGAGACTGACGTGATCATGAATTTTACGGCTGATTCCATTATTTTATTATTATGCTATTTCGCCTTTTGCCTTTGAAATTACACAACTACTACAGTGGCGTTGCAAAAGTTTGAAACCCCATATCGCCATCCTTACTAATTGCCTTCTGATGGGTAACAAGGGGTTTCAAACCTTTGCAACACCATTGTACGAGTACTCCGTATGTTTGGAGGCTATGCCAAATTTAACAACGAAAACCATTCTCTTCACGGAGAGCCAAAGAGTTGTTTACTCAATACTCCGTACTCCGTACTGTCCCTTCGCATCCGTGTTTATTGGTTTCTTTTTGTTAGATCGTTGGCTAACAGAACCCAAGGTTAGGGCTCACCAAGGTTACGAGATGGACCCTTCAGTCTAAGACTTGGCAACTGGCTGGACCCTTAAAAATTATTCAGGAACGACTTGGCGAAATTAAATGCGGACCAATTGAGGCATAAAAAATCTGTAGGTTTCGTATTCAAGCTCGAAACGACAACACACCTCGTATCTGTTCCCACTCGACCCGCATTTGAACCTGTCGATCAGGGTCTTTCCTCGCCGCCTTGGATCCGTAAATAGACTGGTTATAGTGAAAGAAATCATGGGCTATGAAAAGCGAGGTTAACAAGTCTTCAGGGATAATTGGGAGACGGTTCAAAGGGGTAATGGGCACGCTGGGCCCATGATGAGATTCCTGACGGAAGCAGCCTGAAAACTTTATCTGAGCTTCAACCATAAGATCCACACCTCTCACGATCAACACGAGTAGCGTGCCTCCAATAACTCTCGGCTTCTAGGTAACGGTCCCATCTAGCTCGAAGCCCCTTTTTATCTTCAGCGGGAATACGAGGCACAGCCGAAGCCCTTTCTGCCCGCTGGTCCCATTCCGGGAGAAACTGACGAGCCGGCGTCCCCAATCGCCTCATTCTCTGACACTGACCCCGTTCTGCTCACGGTGATCTGGGGTCTCCGATTGGATTCATCAAGGAAGAAGGCTTGGACCCTACATCTCGGAGGAGTTCCATCTCGGTTACCCCACTAGAGGATTTGCTGGAGGGCTTGTTTAGCCTTGGTTTTGGGTTTAGTGGATCGATACGAGAGAGCCATATTATGATTCTTCGCGTGGAGGCTGATATTTGTTAAGGGGTGGGCCATTGCGGCTGAAGGGGCCGAAGAAGGGACGTTGAAGACCCTTAAATTGGAGCTGATGCCCTGATCGAGAGGTGGTGATTTGAGTCTTGACTTCCTTCCGTCCATATCCTTCTCGAACTTCTTCATTTTCTGCATATATCTTTTTTACTTCGAGTTGACTAGTACAACTAGTCTTACGCATACTCGCACTATATTATATCACCGATCTTTTAATCCAACAAGAATATGCATTCTACGAAGACTCTGGCTCTGCTGTGCCTCTCGGCCTCTGTTCTGGCTACTGCCGAGCTGGAGAAGAAGCAGTATGGCGACTCCTCCGATGACTACTACAACAGTCTCATGGGTGATCTCAATAGCCTGTAAGAAGGCCTTTCTGACTTTGGACATCTCGATACGGTCTAACATAAAGAAACAGAGCCTCCGAGACCGATTATCTTAACTACCTCACGGGCTCGGACTATAGCGACCTCTACAAAGACTTGCCCACCAACTACCTGAGCGACTACTCTGACTACCTGAGCGACTCCACCCTGAGCGACTATGGGCTGACGGACTACCCCAGTGCGACGAACCTGGGTGGGGGTGACAGTCTCAACACTGGCAGTGCCAGTGAGACGACCGCCAATAGTCACGACATGCCTACTATGACGACGGGCCCTTCGATTACAGGACTCGCAGATGCACCCCCGGCCTCGATCCAGTCTGTGCTCATCACAGCGATTCCGGAATCCTATCTGTCCCAACTGGGCAACCCATCCGCGCGGTCGTCCATCTTCAGCGAGATCGCAGACGGCCACTACCCGCAGTGGTATGCGGATCTTCCTAGCAGCGTCAAGAGTTGGGTTTCCGACCACTACGAGCCCACTGGAGGGTCTGGTCATGGAGGTCATGGAAATTCGGCCCCGGCGACCGGAGTCATGGCGTCCGGGGTGGCGGCTGCTGCGGGTGTGTTGGCCCTGGCAGTGTTGCTGTAGATCAAACCGTGAGAATGCGGGGTTGAAGAGAGATTAGACCAATATAATAATCAATTCTTATTGCTGCACACATATCAACGGATCGGAAAACAGTCACACACAAATGGGATGAAGTAAGGAGAACCACAGGATCGCCTCCGCGGGCCAAACCGGACTCCACCGGGGTCCACCGAGGATGATATCGGAGAGTTATGATTGGCTGAGGATTCAGTGTTTATCGAATGAGTCAGCGGGGAGATAAGAGCAGGGAGTACTCCGTACCCTACGTATGTCTTGGTTGCCCTAAGTCGGGGCAATGTTCAGCTGAGCCCGAGGGGTGACTATGACTGCGTGACCTCTTTCTCATTCTCCTCCTCTTCTTCTTTATTCCCCTTCACTCCTAGACTTAGACTCACTCTCGATCTCTACACCATTTCCTCGTCCTTGCTGTCTCTTTCTTTCCTTCTGAACCGCCCTGCCTCGAGTCTCGCGATCCGAAATCCTTCTCCCCACCTTATCGCTTCCCCGGATTCGGCTGCATCCTCACCTTACCAACTCACTTGATATCCGAGCCCACCACGGCCACCACGAGTTCTCCTTGGCTATTTCTCCTAAAATATGCCTCCACCGCTTTTATACAACCTTGTTGCTGGGTCTCTTCCAGACCACTGTGAACCCTCGTCGCCTCTTCTGACCGCTATCTCCTCACATCTCCACATCTGCCTCCCCACTCCTCTCGCGCTGATCTCCTCCGTTCTCGGCACCCTCAGCATTGTGTCATGGCTCTTCGCCCAGCTACCCCAAATATTCAAGAACTACCAGCTCCAATCCACATCCGGTCTATCCATATTCTTCCTCGTCATCTGGTGCTTCGGTGATGTGAGCAATCTGGTCGGTGCCCTCTTCACCCGCCAGGCCGGCTGGCAAGTCGTCGTCGCCAGTTACTATGTCTGTGTCGATGTCGCGCTAGTCGTTCAGTTCTTTTGGTACACCCACTATAAAGCCCGGCGGTACGACAGCTACCGCGAATTACCACACTCGCACGATTCGTCCGATCCCACTGGCCGGCTGCTACAGGGGGTGCCCCTGCCGGACAACGATGGAACCCAGCAGTCGCAATCATCGGGACCAGTCAACATGGACGTCTCAAAGAAATCCGAGGTGACAGACGCGGGCGTGCAGACCGGATCAACTCTCAACTCAACAGTCAATCCCACTGCATCCTATTCGAATGAGAAGATAAATTCCTCCCGCCGGTCGAACCGGGTCAGAAGCAGCGCCTCCAGCCCTCCATTCGCACTACCCCGCACTATGCTCATTGCCTCGTTGCTTTGTGCTGTCCTAGCCAATGCCAGTCCTACCGGCACAAGCCCGTCCCCTCACCCGCCCATTTCCCACGCCCCCCGTGAAACAATCGTCGAGATCGTGGGCCGCATCTTCTCCTGGATGTCAACCCTCCTCTACCTGGGCTCACGCCCACCCCAACTCATCAAGAACTACCGCCGCAAGAGCACAGAAGGTCTTTCCCCGCTTCTCTTCATGGCTGCTTTCAGCGGCAACTTGTTCTATTCCTCCTCTTTGCTCACCAACCCCAACGCCTGGTATGACTTTGCGCCGTACGGCGGTGGCGGCTGGGCCGATGACCACGGTAATGATCGATGGGAGTGGATTGGACGGAGTCTGCCCTTCTTCCTGGGTGCATTTGGCGTTCTATTCTTGGATGGATTCATGGGCGTACAGTTCTTGATGTACGGTCCACAAGACGACGAGGATGACGAGAGCTATATCGGTTCCGAGGACGGAGACCCCAAGCGCGGCCGCAGTAAGTGGCGTCGCGTGCGTGGATGGATGCGCGGATGGATTCCTTCGACATCGCCGGAGCGTGATCAGCGTACGCGCTCGCGGGAGGGCCAGGCCTTGCTTGCACATGACCAAGGACGATACGGGACTGTTTGATAGAGTCACTTATCTACCCGGATATACATTTAAACCCTATGTTTTTCTTACAGGGTCCGACCAACTGCCTTCGTTAGAGCGAGGGTGGTTATGATACATTAACGACATTACGACTTTTCATTGGACTCATTCTCGCATTGGGCACTTGTTTTTGATTTTGATCTCCCATATTGGATGGGGAATGACTCTGCCCTTGCTTTGCATTTTGATTCTTGTTTCCCCTCTGGATTCCCTTCTCGGGCGTTTTTGATTTTTACTATACCATGGCGTGGAGCGAGCGGGAGGTTGCAGGTCGGATATAGAGTTTGAGGTTGAGATAGCTTACTATTGTCTTGCACTTTTGGATTATTTCTGTATATATGACATGTATATTCATCAAGTGAAACCATTGTTACTCTTATTATTTGTTCCAGTAGATGCCAAGGCCGGAGAGGCAGTCACCCTAAAGCCCTGAAGGTCCATCCCGAGACGGGAATAGCTATTAGTACTAGTACCAGTAGTACCTCGGTACTGAGCAAGTCTATCAACCTTGGGACCGCAGACTATCTGCTAGCTTTGTACATAGTACAATGTGTATTATTGCGTAATATCTGTTCTGAGAAGCAAGCTCGTAAGTTTTATTGATCATAATACGTGTACTCGCTTTTGAGTGTAGAAAAAGACACCAAAAAACTTGCAAAAAAATAAGCACTATAATGTTTCAGAAGAAGAAAGTCATACGGTAAAAATGGTAAGCGAGAGTTTTTCTATACTTGGATAATGTACTCAAGAATCAAGATAGCCCCTCAAGAACCTCAGCCTGTCGAGTAGCCCAATACTTCCTTCTTTCATACCAGTTTCTGTCCACTGGAAATGGGTAATCGTATTTGTCTGGATTTTTATAAACCCACTCAACCCAGGCAGGGTAGATTGAACTTGGCGGCATTGCATGTCCATCTGTAGCTTCTACCAAGGTCCAGTACTGGTCTTTCTCTTCCTCGGCGCGAGTGATATTCAGCATTCTCGTGATGCCATGCGATAACAAGGTGTCAGATGTCAATGGAACTTGTTCAGAAAGATACATTGAATAGGGGTCACACGATCTCCAGTATTCCTCGCGTCTAAAGGGCTTGTCTGGAGTCCGAAAGTGAGGGAGCAAAGTGAGCCAGCTCTCTTCAATCGAATTCTTGTCTGGGCTGGTGGCTGGATCTTTCATTTTCTTTTCTAGAAGTTCCACAAACTCTTTTTCTTCGTCGATAATTTCATCGATTTCTGCATCATCCAGGGGTTCATTGGGGCGACTGGGCTCTCTATTGCAGCAGACATGGCTCATGTCAGCTACTTCAAATTCGTGTACTCGTTTTATCTCAAACAGTGCCTTTTGTGCGACTGGCTGTCCTTGGATATCAATCAGCATAAGTAAGCATTCCATAATCCATATATATGCTATTGATTGTCCATGGAGGCGAAGCAATTGACGAACTGGGGGGCATCCGTCAGGAGCACAAGGGCAACGACACTTGTCGTGAATCGAAGTAGCTGCACCGTGATGAAGAAGTTTTGCTATGGTGGCAAGATCATTTGACATTGACTCGTGGTAAAAGGATTTGAGAGTTGCAGTAGTTCCGCCAACTGAAGTTGGAACTCGATGAAATTCTTCTTTTGCAAATGCTTTTTGCAAAGCAGTTTCACCTCTGTTGTTCTGATGGTTGACACTGCAGCCTTGCGTTAGAGGATGTCCGACAAGCTCACTACCATCTGGAATGAGATCCATGAGAGCAGTTTCGCCTTCATTATTCCGGTGGTCAATTTGCTGAAACCCTGCATTGAAAACGCAATCTATCCACTTTGAATCTTTAGCATAATGCAGTAAGGTGTTGCCGTTTTCGAATAGAATATTCCTGTCTACTCCTAGACTGAACATCCTTTCAAGAAACTCGGGCGATCTTCCCCAGTAAGCTCGCCGCCACCAACGAGACATATCTGAATGACCCGGCACCCTTTCCATGAGATGATGTAGTTCAATTTTCAGGAATGCACTAGAGAAGTGTGCAGTTGTGCGGAAAAATGCAAAAACTTTCTTTGCGACGTCCCAGTGATCCCAAAATAAAGCCCAGTGCAGAAATCTGAGATGCCCGTCTTTCAATGGATCCGCTCCTGCCCTGAGAAGTTGAATCACGGAATCAGTGTACCCATAGGCTGCCGCATAATCTAGAGGGCTGTTACCACAGAAGTCGGCTTCATTAATATCTGCGACATCGAACTTGGAATATGTCTGCAATAGCGTCGAAAGCACATCTGGCCGTAATATAGCGACGTGAATCGCTGTTTGGCCGAGACAATTTTTCCCCTGAAGACACTGTGGATGTTCCAAAAGATTCAAAATTTCGGGTTTAGTTCCACAAAGAATACTGTCCATTAGTGGAGTTTGGCCCCAAACTCCTGAGTGCAAATATTAGACACAAGGGTCTACATTCCCGAGAAAATCATCGAGACTTACCATAAGAGTTCTTGGAGCATTCCACAAGAAATTTGAGGAGGAAAGGCTTACCTTCGCCGTCGCAGTTGTAGGACCGAGAATAGCAAAATCCACGTGGGAGGAGGCTTGGTGCAGTGCAAGTTCTCCAAGGTTTCCAAGGTTTCCAACGTGCAGTATCGGTAGTATCTATAGAGCAATCATATCCTGAGGCGAATAGTTCTTTCAGTAGTTCCAAATGTATTCCAGTTTCGCTCCATTCAGCAACAAGCGATAGAATCCTACATCCACAGAGTTGTTAATAACGGAATCCGAAAGGCAACCCCGACTGAAGGAATCATTGACTTGCGGTATTTTGGTTCTGATTGGCGCACTACATTCGCACAAAATTCTTACAAACCGAAGGACTAAATGTGGATTGCCGTGATTTGAAAGCTTTAGCAGTCTCTGTATCTCTGTTAATAGATAGTACTCCATACAACGAATGTCTTAACATACCTCGAGCCATGTCGCTCCATCGGGGAAAATATCCCACGGAGAGACAGTCCCCACTTGAAATAATCTGAGCAGGTTGCCACATGATGTTTGAATGTCAAGCTTCTCTTTGGAACATTTGAATACCAACTGAAACCCAGGCGACGTATTCTTGACCAGCTGTTGAAAATGAAGGCTAGGACTGATAGAGAAACCATAATTGCCCCACGAGAGATCTAAGTCTGCCTGGAAAGCCCAAAGCAAGCCAAACCTGGTGAGTCCCACAAAGTATGATATTCGGCGTTGCTTGGTCCGTTTGTAGTATTTGGCGAGACTTTTAGAACCCGCACATTGCGTGTTGTTTCCCGTAGATATGCTCTCGGAGTCTACCACAAGTGCCCCCATCGTAACAGAGTCTATCCCCGTAGCTGGCTTCAAGAAGGATATATTCTCGATTTCCTTCAGCACTAGCTTAGTGTTTGCCATAGTGTGAGTTGAAGTAACGGAGTTTTGATAAAGGAGCAGCATCTTGATATAGCCGGAGACTTTTGAGAAGATGCATTCCAATGCTTTTTCGTCCTTCAGACTGAGAATTGCCTTGCAAGTCTTTGTCAACTTAGAATCACCCTGTTCAGGTGTCAACTTTGTCATGAGGTCGTCAAGCGCATTCATTTGTGAAAAGCATTCGTCGATTAAAATCTTCAGCGCGGATGAAGTTTGCGGATTAAAGTGGCCGAAGTCGATATGAAACTGGATCCGACGTAATGCGTCGATGAAGAGAGGCAGGTGGATTGCGATATCTCGTAGGTTCTCTGGAGCTTCATCGACACGGTGAATGTATTGATTGACTCGGTCAAATACTTTTGTACTGAAGTCTACCAGCTCGATGACGGATGCAACGGCGCCTACCACGGTCAAGGCTTCTGTCATATTGACGGCGCCTGTCGAGTGAGGAAGATCTCTTTGCACTCCTCCTTCTTCTTCTCCTTTTCCGATATGAGTCTTGAATGGTATCGAGGCCAAGGGAATTATGAGTTTTGGTGGTTTGAAGGGATAAATAAAACGGAAGATGTCGACGACGCCGTCGATGCCTAATCTCTCGGTTTCAATGGGGCTGAGTGCAAGGCGGGGTTGGAACTGCACGATACGCTACATTCGATCGGCGCGAAGCAGCATCCAATGAACACATCGATTGCAGGTCTGCCATCATACTAGTACATAAAGCTATCCTTCCAAGGTTTATTTGACAGGCGACCAGTATTACTTCAAGTTTGCTCACACAAAGATTCTGTTCAAACCTTGTGAACTGGAAAGGTTGAAAACCTGAGTATGTACGTACAGCTACTAAATAAACCCGTATGATAGTAGTATATTGACATTCAACGAATCATCTAATTATAAACAAGTACTTCAAGAAGGAAACGGCGTCAACGGGGAGCAACCCGCCAAAAACCAGACCAACCCTAAGGGCAGCCAAGTAGAAAGTAATGTGTACATGTGGTTCCCATGCTAGGATACTCGCCCAGCCCCAGTCCAGTCCAGTCCAGTCTTATCACATCATCTCATTAATGATTAGGCATGGGTTGAAAACAGCATAAAGCCAGAGCTTTGCGTACTCTGCAACGAACGCCAGTGACATGGGGAAAGGGGAGAAGCCACAGGGTAGCCAGGGATGAGCGATGCGATATGCAATGTGAGGAACGGGAGAGGCGGCATTAAGCAATATTCTTAGCAAGATAAGAGTGACAGAGAAGAGAAGATGGACTTAAAGGGAAAGGGGGAGGAGCATCATAGGAAAACAGGGGCATATCCATTCGTTGCTTGTTCGAATAATTCATGACCGGGTGAGTAATTTTTCTCTTTTCTTTCTTTTCTTCCTGAGTCCTCTTCATCATCCCGGGTACTAAACGTCTCTCTTCTTTCTGCACTGCACCCATACTGAGACATCCGAGCAACGCCGTCGTGAACCCAACGCCGAAGCACGACCGGGAATGGGAAGAAAGCAAAAGCAAAAAGAGTAGCAAGGGGAGGTATGGAGTTCTGACCGCGACTCGGCGTGACCAGCATCAACCGAGACCGAGGTATCGTCCAATCGCAAAGACTCCAACTCAATGTGCATCGCGTTCAAATACAGTCCCACGTAGCGACAGAGGGGAAGAAAAAGTCATATTTAATACAGAGGTGACTTAACATCCTGGACTCCGCGTCGGATAACATCCTCGATCCGCCATCGAGGAGGGGTCAACTGCACAGAGCGCTTGCGGTGCCATTCCTTCTCCATTTCGGGCGGGGGAGTCATCTCCTCGGTAGGAGGCAGAGCGCCACCGGCAATACCGGTCGAGAACTTGAGCTGGAGAACGTTGCCGATTTCGTCGCAAGCAGTCAGAACTCGGTCAAGATCTTCCTTGGTGTGGGCAGCAGAGACACAGAAACGAGCGCGAGATGAGACCAATGGGGTGGCTGGGTAGCCGACAACCACAACAGAGATCTTGCGTCGGAGCATCTCGTGGGAGAAGGCAGGCATCTTAGCGGGGTTGAACAGAAGAAGAGGGATGATGGGAGAATCATCGTGGCCGTATACTATAAAGCCAAGGCGCTTCAATCCGAGGCGGAGGTACCGCGAGTTGAAGGCCAAACGTTGCAGGCGTTCTTCGCCCTGGCCCGGGACGAGCTCGCCGTTGATAATGCGAAGAGCGGACGAAATTTGCATGAGGACAGCAGGGGCGGGAGATTCACCATAGAAGATACCGGAGTTGATGGCTCGCAGTTTCTCGATCATGTACTTGTCTGCCGCAATGTAACCGCCGTTGGCACCGAAAGACTTGGTGAGAGTACCCATAAGAACATCAACTTCGGCGGTGTCAATGCTGAAGTAGTCACACACACCACGACCCTGGGGACCGATAGCTCCGATAGAGTGAGCCTCGTCAACGAAGAGGTTGAACTTGTAGCGGTGCTTCAAGGCAACAAGACCCGGGAGGTTGCACATGGAGCCCTCCATGGAGTAAAGACCCTCCACGACAACCAAGATCTTCTTCCAGGGACGGTGAGTGCGGGGTTGGCCCTGAGAGATGGCCTCACGGAGCTTGAGTTCCAGATCCTTCATATCGTTGTGCTTGAACATGGCGATGGATGCACCAGAGAGACGGGCACCGAAGCGAATGGAGGCGTGGTTCAGTTCGTCGGAGATGAGCAGATCACTCTTTCCGACAAGCGCGGGGAAGACGTTGGCATTGGTACCGAAGCCCATTGAGAAGACCATCGACGCCTCCTTACCCACAAATCGGGCAATTAGATCCTCGACCTCAACGTGAAGATCCTGAGTACCGGTCTCAGCTCGGGTGCTGGGGGTTGCAATTCCATACTTGCGGACAGAGTCCTCCGCAATGTCGGCACAGGGTCCTTCCGACTGGGCGAACCCAAGATAGTTGTAGGAGCTCAGGTTGAGGGTATCAGTGGTTGTACCAGTCAGGTAGAAGTGCTGGTTATGGTCGTTTGTAGCCCGGTCAATCAGTGTGATGGTACGTCCGGGAACGCCCGTAACAGGACGTTCGAAGCAATCGTTAATTCGCAACTTGAGACGGCGCACATAGAAGTTGTCAAAATCACTGTTGAGGGCACCGTACCCGTTGCGGGACTTGAGATGGCGGTAGTTTTCTTCCCGGAAGCGCTTGCCGAAGAAATCACGAACGTGTCCGAAGGCAATTAGAATTAGGTAACTGATATAAGTCGTAAGCAGATAATAATACGGCGGCTCGTCCATCACCGGCTCCGGGAAGACACCGCCAGGGTGTCGACTCGAGTAGCGGTGGGAGGGGTGACCGATGGTGCCGAATTGGGCATGTTGCTTGGCCTGCCGGCGGGCCTCCTCGGGGGTAGGAGGCTGAAAGAGTGTCGTCGGCATTTCGTCGGTATGAGGGTAATCGGCAGTAGCTGTGGACAGAGAGATTGTCGGTAGGGACAGTGATGCCGAGCTGATCGGCGGAGAGGCGTTATTAGGAGGATTCCCACCGGTCGACTGGGGGGCCGCCTGTATAGGTTGGGGCTGAGCCTTGGATTTAGGGGGAGCTCGAAAACAATTGAGAGAGTCGATTGGATTTGACCGAGGATGCCTTATTGGCAATACCGCCCTTTCCGGAGGAAGGAGAAAAGGACGGCGGGTTGGAAGTGTCGTTGGAGGAGGAGTTGTTGCTAAACCGACGAGGCATCGCACAGAGGGAAGCAACGATTCAAGGAGGAGAACGACGGGGGACTTTTTGTACCGGCACCGTCTGTGATTTCTCTGGGATGTTGGTGGGGGGTGGGCGCGTGTATGTCTGTGTGTTGTGTGTTGTGTGTTGTGTGTTGTGTGTTGTGTGTGTGTGTGTTGTGTGTATGTGGGTTTTCAACGCGTCGAGGTGGTTTGAGGCAAGGACTACCGAGTGACGAGAGAAAGCAGCAGAGACCGAGTCAATTTTCTGCTTTCGACTATTCGAGTTTCTGGTTCGTTCGACAACAACCGGAGAAAAGGTTGATCTGAGGTAGGGTGAAAGATCGTCAGTTGGGATGATCCTCCATTGGATTCAAGATGAAAGTTGAAGATTGGGGGAGGATGCGCGAGTGTCGGAGGTATCGGAGGTGTCGGAGGCAAAGAAGGAGGATTATTCAAAGTGGAATAGTAGATGAAGACATACCTCGAAGTGATTAATTGTGGCTGATGATCGCAAAAAGCGGGATCCGAAGACCTCCGGCTGGGTGAAGCCCTTAGAAAAGTGTGGCTTCACACGTGGAATGGGGGCAACACCAAAAAAGGGGGGGGGAGGCCGGAACAAGGAGCGTGGGGGGAGTCCAATGTTCGTGAGCAATGAAGTCTCCACGATCACAAACTAGCTTGTAGTTTGGTTCGATTTGGAGGGGGGAGAAGAGGGTAAAGAAGGGGGGAGATGAGATGAGATGGGAGTAAATACAGTAGCAGCAATAGTGAGAGCGAGAGTAATCGTAATAGTGCCCGATGCTGCATCAAGCCATCATGCACCTCCTGGTATTGAAAGGGGTATTGGTATTACCACAGTTACACAGCATATCACAGCGATACTACCGTAATTTACATCCCAATACATCCATGAACTTTTTTTTCATTGGGATCCACCGTCAACCAAGAATCGGACCCGAAGGAAAAGAGTTAGTTTTAGTTACTCGAGAGTTGCCCACTGGGCCTGATTGTCTGGATTGCTAGGGTCATCATCCGAGTGCCCTATACTGCACTCTGGGCTGCTTGGAGTAGTACTAGTGGTTTGATTATGTCTGCAGCCTAACATGAGACAACAATTCCAGGGGCCAGTCAATGCAGCTGTTGTATGCATGTACGAGTACTCCGTACTCGTACTTCCTACTAAGAGTAAAAGGTTGCCTGGAGAGATCGACATGTCATCTCACACAAACAACAGTACGAGTATTGTGGGCCACAGCGTGATGTGATGGTACCTGCAGGATGAAAACGGTCACGGCCGAGGCGAGACTGAGGCCGAGGCCGAGACCAAGACTAAGACCAAAGACCAAAGACCGAAGACCCTCTCAAGTGTCCCGTTCTTTTCAGGAACATTCAATTTTCCTGCTAGTACGGACTAGTAGTCCACTTATTCAGGGCCTGAGGCAGAGATGTCACCCCAATGGCCCGCATTCCGCATGCCGCATTGCCGCATCAAGGAGAAGACGATCAATCCCCCTCCTTTTCATCGTCATGGGGGAAGGAGGGTAGAAGATGAGCGGAGAGATATGTAGAGGGAATCCTGGAGATCAACCAAGTTTTTCCAACAGGATAACCCCTCCCCTCCTTACTTATATAGCGTAGTGCATAGTCATATCCAGCGGCTGCCACCGCTTGATGCTACCCGCAGCCGCGGGTTTCAGCGGCAATGCAAGTACGAAGTACCCGATTCAATCCAGGGGATTCTCCGCCCCACGATCCCTTCGAGGCAGAGTTTGGAATTGTATGATTGATCTCTTTCTCTTACACCGATCACCCCTGCAACGACCATCCAATCCGGCGAGAACCCCGCTATCCGTATACTTCTCCCGGGTGGTTACTCCGTACGCTTCTGGTGGTACCTAAGCTATACTTCCCGCCGCTTGGTCCCCTGAACTGGTCCAACAAAACCGCCGAAAACTACCGTTGCCACTGGCGCCTCTCCCTTTGAAAAAAAAAAGAGTTTCCTTCTCCTCACTTCAATCAGTCATTTCTGCTTCAACTGTCCTGTTTCTGTGTCGTATATACCTCAATTGCTCATTCAGAAACGATGCCGCACATTGACGAGGCTGTGACTTCTGATGCGAAAGAACTATGGCGTCACTCATCGCCCGAGTCCACTCAGATATATGATTTTATGACCAAGATAAACAAGAAGCATGGTCTATTATTGTCGGATTATGATTCCCTTTGGAAATGGAGCACATCGGAGCCCGCCAAATTCTGGGAAGAGATTTGGCACTATACCCATATCAAAGCTCACAAGCCATACAACACGGTAAGTTCCGAGGGCTTAATGTAACAAGAACCCCAAGTGGCTAATCGTGGTCACAGGTTCTTGAAACCGACCAGGCACTCTTTCCTCGACCGGCGTTCTTCGAAAGGAAGTGCTCTCAACTTTGCCGAGAATCTGCTCTTCCCGGCGGCCAATCCAGACGAGGACTCAATTGCCATCATTGGAGCCACTGAGGCTGATCGCGAGTTCATTTCCTGGAAGGAGTTGCGAGAGCGCGTTCGCCAAACGGCCAATGCTTTGAAGGAAGCCGGTCTCCAGACTGGCGACCGTGTTGCAGGGTTTGTGGGCAACCATGCCAACACCGTTGTTGCCATGCTGGCTGCGACATCCATCGGGGCCTTCTGGACTGGTGTTTCTCCAGATACTGGTGTGCACGCTGTCCTAGAGCGACTGAAGCAGATCCAACCTAAGGTTTTCTTTGCGGACAACTCCTCGCTCTACAATGGCAAGATCCACGGCTCCCATGCCAAAGTGCGCGAAATCGTCTCCGAGCTGCCTGATCTCGAGCTCTTAGTGATCTTTGAGATAGCAAAGTCTCTAGATTTTGATATTGCAGATGTCCGTCCCCAAAATGGAAAGGCAGTCACCTTGGGAACGTTCCTGTCTACTGTTCGGGACCAAGAAGCCCCGTTGGAGTTTGCTAGTCTCCCCCCCTGATCATCCAGTCTATATTCTGTACTCTTCGGGAACTACTGGTGCACCGAAGCCCATTGTGCACGGCTCGCTAGGCACTCTGTTACAGCACAAGAAGGAACATCTCCTTCACTGCGAAATCCGACCCGGTGATCGACTTTTCTACTTTACGACGACAACGTGGATGATGTGGCACTGGCTCGTTTCCGCCCTGGCCAGTGGTGCAACGATTGTACTGTATGATGGATCACCATTCCGCCCGTTCGACGTCGAAGGAGGAAAAGGAGAAATGGCCATGCCGCGCCTGATAGAAGAACTCCAGATCACCCACTTCGGCACCTCCGCGAAGTACCTTTCCATCCTAGAACAAGCCGCCTTGAATCCCAGCAAGAACAAGCACCGCCCTGTGAACCTTAAAACTCTGAAGGCTATCTTCAGTACTGGGTCACCGCTGGCTCCATCGACTTTCGAGTACATCTACTCTTCTCTCCACTCCGATATTATGCTGGGCTCTATCACGGGCGGCACAGATATCCTGTCCTTGTTCTGCTCTGGATGTCCGATTTTACCTGTCTACAAGGGCGAGATTCAATGCCGTTCCCTCGGTATGGCCGTATCTGTGTTTGACTACGCCGGTAAAGATATCAGCGCCTCGGGTGAACCAGGTGATCTTGTTTGCACAACCCCATTCCCAGCACAGCCCGTCATGTTTTGGCCACCCGACGCGACTGGCATGGAAAAATACCGAAAGAGCTACTTTGAAGTCTTCGGGACGTCTGTCTGGCACCATGGAGACTTTGTTCGCGTGAACCCGGAGACGGGTGGTGTGGTCATGCTGGGCCGCAGCGACGGCGTGCTTAAGCCTTCTGGCGTCCGATTCGGAAGCGCGGAAATCTACAACATACTCCTCAAGCATTTTGCAGAGGAGGTTGAAGACTCTCTCTGTGTTGGCCGAAGGCGAGAGGGCATCGACACCGATGAGACTGTCGTGCTCTTCGTCAGACTTGCACCTAATAGCATCGTCGATGTAAAGGAACTCTCATCACGGATCCAAGCTGTCGTTCGCAAGGAACTGAGTCCTCGTCATGTGCCCGGCGTCATCGAAGCCTGCCCCGAGATTCCGGTCACTTCTAATGGCAAGAAGGTTGAGAACGCGGTTAAGCAAATCTTGTGTGGACTGAACATTAAGATCGGCGCCAGCGTGGCCAACGCCCATTGTCTTGATTGGTATCGTAATTGGGTATCTGAGAACCCCTAATTGTCTCTGAGTTGGATATATAAACTGGATAAATTGGATATAGGAATTATAATGTGAATCAAGACTCTTTTCGGGGGGTCCGGTTTGCGGCGGGCCTACCTCTGGTGCTACTATGTCATCATGTTGGATCTAGACTTTGGAACTCGGTCAGCAACAAAAGAGTGAAAGCTCCTCTTGGAACCGAAAATGAGTAATAAACGAGGACGAGGATATTCTTTTAGTGTATATGACAAATAACGCCTACAAAAAATACAATTCTGTTTGTTTGAGTGCTTCTTGTTCAATCCCATTTGAATCATACAATCGCTTATCTAATCCGGATTCGGTGCAGTTCTCCGGAATCGATTCTTCGCCGCGCTGAACCTCCGACCTCCGCAAGATCGAAGCGAAAGCGTGTAGAACGCATAATATCCACTCATTGGAAGCTTGCAGCGTGTCGGAATAAACACATCATGCGCCGTTCTGCATTGCGGGCTATCGAGTCCGCGAAGCCCGTCACCGAGCTCCTCGCTCGGTGTCGAGGAGCTTTGTTACTCTGAATGATTCCGCTAAGGTATTATATCCTTGATCGCCCTTTCTCATTTTTCCTATCTCTAACTGGATTTCTTTTGGACAATTAGGACCCCTCCGAGCTCGATCAAATCACCACTCTCCCGAACGGAATTCGTGTCGCCACCGAGTCATTACCGGGCCCCTTCTCAGGCGTCGGAGTTTACGTTGATGCTGGCTCCCGGTACGAAGATGCCAGTCTGCGCGGCGTTAGTCACATTATGGACCGATTGGCCTTCAAATCAACCAAGCAGCGCTCCGGAGATGAGATGCTGGAGGTCCTCGAGGGACTGGGTGGTAACATTCAATGTGCTTCTTCTCGAGAGTCGTTGATGTACCAGTCTGCCAGTTTCAATTCGGCGGTCCCTACCACCCTTGGCCTGCTGGCAGAGACCATTCGGGATCCCCTCATCACAGACCAGGAAGTGCTGGAGCAACTTGCGACCGCGGAGTATGAGATTGGCGAGATCTGGGCGAAGCCCGAACTTATCCTGCCGGAGCTCGTCCACATGACGGCATACCGGGATAACACTCTAGGCAACCCTTTGCTGTGCCCCGAGGAGAGATTGGGTGAAATCAACAAGGCCACGGTCGAGCGATACAGAGAGGTCTTCTTCAACCCGGACCGAATGGTGGTTGCGTTTGCCGGTGTCCCCCATGCGGACGCCATCAAGCTCACCGAGCAGTACTTCGGTGACATGAAGGCGAGGGACATGACCAAGGGACCTGTTCTGTCTGGATCAGGCATTGACACTACTCTATCGGCTTCCCACGCCGCGGCCAAGGAGGGTCAAGTCCCGACTGTTCCTCAGTTCACTGCCTCTTCAACAGTGACCAGCCCTGCCGCATCACAAAACACACACTCTTCGCTCTTATCCAAGCTTCCATTCCTCAAGAAACTATCGGGCTCCGCCTCGAAGGACGGTGTCGTCACACCCCTCGACCCCTCCTTGATCGAGCCCTCGACGCTGGACCTCCGACGACCAGCTCACTATACTGGAGGCTTTGTGGCACTTCCCCCGATTCCGCCTCCGGCCAACCCTATGCTCCCCCGCCTGAGCCACATCCACCTTGCTTTTGAGGCTCTCCCCATCTCCTCTCCAGATATTTACGCTCTCGCTACTCTCCAGACCCTCCTTGGAGGTGGCGGTTCTTTCTCAGCCGGTGGCCCCGGAAAGGGCATGTACTCCAGACTTTATACCAATGTGCTGAACCAGCACGGATGGGTTGAGAGCTGCATTGCTTTCAACCACAGTTATACCGACAGCGGCATCTTTGGTATCTCTGCCTCGTGCAGCCCAACTCGGACCACCGAGATGCTCGAGGTGATGTGCCGCGAACTGCAGTCCCTCTCCTTGGATACCGGATACTCCGCCCTGCAAACCCAGGAAGTTAACCGCGCTAAGAACCAACTCCGTTCCTCGCTGCTGATGAACCTCGAGTCCCGCATGGTGGAACTCGAGGACCTCGGACGTCAGGTGCAGGTTCACGGGCGCAAGGTTGGCGTCCGTGAAATGTGCGACCAGATCGAGGCTCTGACTGTTGAGGACCTCCGCCGCGTTGCTCGTCACGTCTTTGGCGGCAACGTCCAGAACAACGGACAGGGTACTGGAAAGCCCACCGTTGTGTTGCAGGAGGGCGAGCTGGAGGGATATAAACTTCGGTCTTTCCCTTGGGAAGAAATCCAGGAGCGCATTGCGCGGTGGAAGCTTGGTCGGAGGTAAATAAAGTATTTCACTTTATGATATAGAGGATATGCTAGGCACTTCCGTATAGAGGATGTGCTCACATGCTCCTTGGGTTGTAGTAGGAGGATTGATTAATGAGGGGAGCAGCATTTGCATGGAAAGGCAATGTGTACAATAGACTCTGGCCAGCAGAACACAACACAACTCTGTAAATTACCTTGACTTTTCATGAATCGAACGTAGTAAATACTCGTAGTTCATCGAATTCACCCAGTTACGTAGGGTCGTGCGGGTCCAAGCTCCTCGCCGCTTTTGCCCGGCAAAAAAGTCGGTCCCGAACTGAACTCGCGCTCCCCGTCTCCGTTCTTCCAGTTCCATCATCCACCATCTCTTAACGCCCTCTCCATCCATCCCATCCTATCCTATCACTCCCCTTCACACCCGCCAAAATGGTCAAGCTCCACGAGGTCGAAGACGAGGCTTTCACCGACAAGCCTACGCCCAGCAAGCACGACGCTCTGTTGGTTTCCGATGACGAGGATGAGGACTACAGTGACACCGGTAAGTGTTTGATGCCTCCTGTTTGCCTTCATCGCGACCACACTCTTCCCGCCATGCGCCAATCGAATTTTTTCGTCGCGATTCGATATCGAAAAGCGCGTCACCTGTCTCTATCCGACCCCAATCCGACACTGCCGATAATCGTGGCCACCTCGACATCACCTACCCCGGCGAAATGACACGCATCGTTTTTTTCAAATCAATGAATTGACATCTGACACGCTTTTTCCCATTCGCAGACTCAGAAATCTCCGAGGCTGAGGACGATGATGAGGTCGACGAGGAGACCTTCGCCGAGCGTCTCTCCGCCCTGAAGGACATGATCCCTCCCTCCGCCCGCCGCACCGTCACCAGCTCCGTCTCTTCCCTCACATCCTTCACCAAGGCCAGCCTTTCCTTCAGCGGCAAGGCCCTCTGGATCATCAGCACTAGCGCCTTCCTGATCGGTGTCCCCTGGGCTCTGGCCTACGCCGAGGAGGAGCAGTACATCCAGATGGAGCGTGAGCAGGGCATGATTAAGGGTGCTAACGAGGTATGATCAAATCTTGATTTCCCCACCGCACCACGCACAGGATTCCGCTGTCTGGCAACGAATCAATTGGACGGGTTACTGACTAGATCTTCTTACAACAGATGCTCACACCCGGCGCCGAGGCCGAGAAGCAGGAGGCCCAACCCACCTTGTAAATTAATCATCGCCCCGGGAAACAGCAGTAGCGAGGAACCGAGTGAATCGATCGCCCACCATCCCAAACAAATAGGGATGTATTCGGACGCCCAGATCAATTGAGTGACCTGGCAATAAACCGGACGGCCGGCAATCAAGTGGATTGATTCCATGACCGTGCCTCGGCCGGCATGACGAAGACATGAGCGAAATAAAATAGTTCAACCCGATTTGCCATCGAGTCATTTGGTTTCCGGCAAAGCTGCCCTGTTTTTTGTTATATCTTTTTCTTGCTTCCTTGATGTCTTCTTCCAGAAATTTTGGCTCCGGCAGCTCATGCATGCATGTATTTGTACAATCACATCTATCTTATTTCCTCTCAATATTCTTTGTTTCATCTTTTCTTGTATTACATCCTCTTCATGCTCATAACATGTTTTTTTTTTCTTGAAACTTATGAATTTGGGATCACTAGTTCTACAGTCGAAGAAAATAACTTGGGAGGCCATTCTGCCTCCAGAGATAACCCCAAGCCCATTGCTCACTAGACAAGATACCTAAAGCGTGGTTTAGAGAATTAAAATCTGCCAAATCTACTAGTATGTCATATAGATACCTAAGTACCCTGAAGACTAGAGAATTTCCCAAGTCCCCAAGAGTCGCTATTTTCTAATCTGATGCTCATCAGGCTGCTATACTAGTCACGTGCTCTCGCGTCCCAGCGCGGCCGGCGCGACAAAAAAAGGTTTATTTGTTCCAAAGGTTGGGCTTGCACATGGTCTTTCGATATGATCTATGACGTGTACTTGGTCTCTGTTATGAGATGCTCTCCCTACTCGTACCTGACTTGATCTATCCTTCAGCTTCTCTCTTCTACCATCTTCAACAGCTCCAACTCTCATTTCGTCATGCCCCGCCGAACAAAGAAGAAGCAAGCGCGCCTTGCCTTCGCCCCAGTAACTGCGGCTGTATCCTCGGGCGATGGCAGCGGTAACGACGAGACAAGCGACCGTCAGGCTAGACTCTCATATGGTCATCCTAGCATGGCGGCAGTCCGATCTCAAGGCTCTCGCATCGGTGGCGCTGAACCGTCGAAGCGACATCGCCCTCTTCAACAATTTCTGGAAGTGCAAATCAGGACACCGAAAAAGGAAGAGGGGAGCAGTATGTGAAATCACTTTCGTCTTTAGTTGTGCGAGGCATTCAACTGACATGTCAAAGAACAACCACCACAGGAAGATTCATCCGATGACGATATAGTTGTACCGAGTTCGCATAAGAGAAAACGACCCGCACTCTCCTCACTCGCCGAACCTGAAGATATGGATATGGAAACTCCTCGCGCCCGTCGTCTCAAGCGTAAGGCCGATAATGCACCGATTGTTTTAAGTGATTCCGACAAGCCGCTGGTTTCATCACCGGCGAAGAGACTACGACGCGGACCTAAAGGCGATTCTGAACCAAGCGATCCCGACAAGCCACTGGTATCATCTCCGACGAAACGACTACGACGCGGATCGAAATCCGAATCACCTCAAACGCCCCGTGCTAAAATGGACAAAGATCAGGAAGAGATTGATGAGGATGTGAAAGATCTCCAAGACTCAGGTATGTCATGCATGTGTATGTCGTGGAGTCTTATGCAATAGGTTAACTGGTTGTCTACAGTTGTGAAGAAGTCGCGGACGCGTGGCCATATCGCTGGCTCGGCGAAAGACCAGCGACAAAAATACCTCGAAGCTCTACGTCGCAAGCGCGCGGGAATCAAAGACGACAGCGATTCAGACGCAACCGCTCAAGGGGAAACATCCACCATCGAGATATCGGATGACGAGGGTGACGGACAGTATAATGGCGATGAAGACCTTGATAAATATGATGACGACTTCGTGCTCGAAGACGATACGACCGCGCTTGGAGTTCCTACAGAGCTTCCATTTGAATTCACTCGACACGCCTACAAAAAACTGAAGGAATATTTTGAAGACGTCGTCTGCTGGATGATACACAATAGTATCGATCCTGCATTTCCTCGTTCGGACCCCATGTATGAGATGGCTTTCAATAAGCTTGAAGACGAGGTGAAAGGGCGAACCGGCTCTCAATTTATGTCCTCTGTGTGGGATGTTGACTTCCGACGGGCACTGCTTGCTCGGCCTAGTCTTGAGATTACTCCATATCCAACCGCAATGCAACATTCGTGCGATGCTTGCAAGCGTTCTGGCCATCCCGCCTCGAGCGATCTAAGGTTCTCTGGGAAACCGTACTCTATGGCGACTTTAGAACCTCTCAGTGAAGATAGCGAGACGTCTGTGGCTAATGAAAGCTCCTCTGATGAAGAGGAAAAGGGGCTGGATCGGGACAGAGACGGTCATATCTTGGCCGAGGATGGCAGGAGCTTCTATCTTGGAAGGTAAATATTTTCGCGCATATGAAATTTTGGCATTTACTAATCCTCGTGATACATGCATAGAACGTGCAAAGCCAACGCTCAGAGTGCGCATACTCTCTACCACTGGCGATACCATCTCAACGAGTGGGTTGTCGATCATCTCGAGCGCATGGGCCATATGGAAGATGAAGAAGTCTTGCGCCGGAACAAAATGAAGCAGAAGCATAAGACGCGCAACGCTATCGAGGTTATCAAGACTATGAAAGAAAACAATGAGATCGAGAAGCTCTGGCGCGACTTTCATACCAACCTCAAAGTGGCTCGAGAGGAGCAGAATCATGTATGTTTTCTATTTTTCGCTCAACTCTTTGGCACGAAGCTGACCTCAATATAGCCTAGTCGGACTGGTCGTTTCTAGACCCAAAAGGATATTAAGCGTTGTACATGGACAGAAAGTACAATGTCTTTCGAAGGTGGGAGAGTTCCACATACTTTTTCTTTTCATCGCGATACCCCTGCGTTACGTTACATATTGCATTTCCAAGTGGATTGGTTCATCATGCATTCAAGTTGCAGTGAACGTCTATTAAGACTTTTGCCGGCCATTAGGGCCTGGTTCTCTGCACTTATCTTGCATAATCTGCGTAGCCAAGTAATATGGCTTCATGCCTGAAACTAATCAGTAATAAGCAATATGTCTATCGAGGCATCATCACTCCCGACTGATCCAATCTTGGTCAACCTGGGGTCTTTGCGTTGAAGCGTTCGTCGCCACCTGATCACCAGACCTCGCTTCACATCTCCCAACTTGTTCTTCGACGGCAATCCTTTCAAAACGCGTACCTTGCTCACATTTTAGCTCGTTCGTCTGCGTTTGCTTGGCCATGGCGTCTCTGGCGATTGGTGGAGTCGACTTTCTCCCAGCCCCGGTCCGGCACCGTGCTGATTCGTGGAAATGCCGACGCCAGGCCTGCCCGCGGGGACAAAATATCCTCGAACCCCAGATCAACATTACCCCAGGTCCGGACCATGGCCTTTGACTCCATCAAGGCCAATGACCTTCGCTCAACAGAATGGCCGCTTGTCTATGCCTGGTAAGCCTCCGGAAACCCCACCACTCAGCGATCCCCGTGGGGTCAGCCTGGCGTTATCAAGCTGCACGCGGTGCTTAGTGGGCCTGGAGTTCATTTATACCAACATGGTTTGATTGGTGCCGTGATTGTTTCTGCTTAGGGCGTTCAGTAGCTTTTTTTTTCTTGCCCCAGACTCTCAGGTGCCAGTGTCTGACCGGGCCACTATATATCTGGAGAAGTGCCTCCGCTCATTTCTACCCCTGGATAGTTCTTCTCCAATATCCTATCAGGGCTGCAACAAGCGTGCATCAAAGAACACGCATAATATACGCTTTGTATCGAGTGTGAGATACAGCGTGGCGTGAAGTCACTTTGGTACCGGTCGATCTGAACTTGAACTTGACATACCTTGTTTCACCAGCCTCTACCATCAAAATGGCGACGTTCACAATGACCCGGAAGCGGGGCTATAACTGGTGAGACTTGAAATATTATCAACAGACGCGGCAAGTTTAAAGCTGACGATGTATAGGTTCATTTCATGTGTAGCAGCAGCATGCATGGTGTTGTACGGATACGATGCCTCCGTCTTCAATTCCGTCCAGGGATCTAAAAATTGGATGGCCTGGTTCGGTGAACCAAACTCCAGCGTGATAGGTTCTATCAACACTGCTTATACCGTCGGCGCTATCTTCGGAGGTTTCTTCCTAGGTGGCCCTATCGCCGATTATTTTGGTCGTAAGGTCGGAATGGGAACCGGTTGTGTTCTGGTCATCATTTCTACCTTTATGCAGACATTCGCTCCTCGTGGCAACCTTGCATGCTTCATCGCCGGACGATGCATAATTGGTATTGGCCAGGGTATTGCGTTGAGTACGTTTCACATGCCAAGTGGCACAGGAGTGGGTGAACAGTTAGCTAACTTCACTTTTCATAGCATCCGGCCCTATCTACATTGGCGAGCTTGCACCTGCTGAGATCCGTGGAAAGATCATGACCTTTTGGCAAATGTTCTACTCTGTTGGTTCCTTCATCTGCTTTTGGATCAACTACGCCTGCACAAAGAATGTTCCCAAGTTGGGTGAATGGGATTGGAAGATGGTTGTCATGTTCCAGCTCTTGGTTCCGGTTATAATTCTTGCTCTCCTACCCACTATTCCTGGCAGTCCTCGTTGGTGAGTTGCACTATGCTGTTACTTCAACAGGTGCGAGAAAAAGACAACTGACATAATTCAGGTTCATCAAACGTGGAAACAATATCGAGAAAGCCCGTCTCGCTCTCCGCAGAGTTCGTGATACCGAGGAAGAGGTTGAGGATGAAATCCTACAGATCCGCGAAGCTATTGAGTATGAGAAGGAGGCCATCTCCGGAAACTACTCTGCTCTGTGGAAGGACAAGTCTCTGCGCAAGCGTATGCTCCTCGCTTTGATTATCAACGCTGGTCAACAAATCACTGGCCAAGGCTCGCTCAACTCGTACTCTACCAAGATCTACCAGAAGATTTTCACTAGCAGCAGCCAAATTGCCCTCATCAACGCTCTGAACGCTACATTTGGTATTCTTTTCACTCTCAATGCCGTGTGGATCATCGACCGCTTCGGACGAAAATTCCTTCTGATCGTCGGTGGCATCGGTATGGGTATCTGTATGATCATCGTTGCCAGTGTTGAAACTCAAACGCCCGTCTTGGCTGGCGGAGCGAAATCTGAACCAGTCGGAATCTCGATTGTGTTCCTTTTATTCTTATTTATCTTCTTCTGTGAGTCATCGTCGTTCCATTGATCCGTCTCTGTGTGGATTCACCTTACTAACAACTTTATAGACAAACCATCATGGGGTGCCACTGTTTGGATTTGGACATCAGAAATATTTTCCATGAACGTTCGCGCCCAGGCTGTTGGTATGGCTTCGCAGACTCAAAACGTCGCGAACACTATTTTCCAACAGTTCTTCCCTATTTTCTTGGACAACTGCGGCTTCTACGCATTCTACATGTTTGCTGGAATCAACTTCCTGCTGGCTGTCTTTGTATACTTCTTCATTCCGGAGACTAAGCAAGTTCCTCTCGAGGAGATAGATGCTCTGTTTGGCGGTGCCAACCACGTTGTCCAAGGTGAAGAGGTTCTTGCTCACCAAAAGGGTCTCCAAGCCCAAGAGAGCAGCGAGAAGCCCGCCACGGTCACGGTTGAGAAGGTTGAACACCGCTGATAGCGGTTAATCTTGTTTTTTAACTATGAGCAAGTGTTTCTTGTGCGGGTGTCGATGAAAATTCCCAGGTGGCTTCTTTTTCTTAATAGGCCCGGCGGAGATTGCTAGCTTTTAATACCAGCGTGTCGAGCGCGCCTTGATAATGGATTCTTTTTCCAGATGTAAAGTTCATTTCGATATATGCAGAAGCTAATTCTTGGAAAGTATCATGGATTTGCGAACTTATTTAGCACTGGCGGCCAGAGCCTCAGCCTTCGAGGTGCTGTTGGGGTCGAGGAAAGGCTTCTCGCCGATACCAACCGCTCGGTGGCCATATCGCTCGCCGAGACCTTCGTAATCAAATGTAGCGGTATGGAATGCAGATCGATTATCCCAGATGGCTAATATATAGTTAGAAAAGCAAGAGGGGCTCAGAAAGGAGACTCGTCACTAACCGATATCGTTCTCATTCCTCCACTTGAACCGGACCTGAATGTCATGGCCTTCGAGGATAGTGTTATAGAATTTCTTTAGAAGCTCATCGGACTCGTCCTGGGTAAGCTCATTAATCTGCTTAGGAAATGGCCCCACGGCATAGATGCTCTTCCAGCCGGTCACTGGGTTGGTCCGCACGATAGGGTGAACAGCGGACAAGTGAGAACCGGTGTTTAGTGGGCTACCTCGAGGGTCGGTGTGAACGATGATATTGGGATCTGCCTCCGCAGCCTTGAGGAAGCCATCGCCAATATAGTTTGCAGTAAGCCCCTCAAAGAACTTTTGGTAAGCCGGTGAAAACCGATCATAGAGGTCATAGCCTGAGGCCCAGAGTGTATCTCCACCAGAGCTAGGAAGCTGGGTGAGTCGGAGAGAGGTGTAGTCGGCTGGAGCTTCCTCAAATTGGATATCTGAGTGCCATTGGGCTGAATCATAGCGGCGCTTGTTGGCCTGATTCTGGTGACGGAACATTCTCTTGCGAATGACCGAGCTGATGGTGCTGACTTGTGCGTCGTTGACTCCGAATTCACTGGTGTTGTTGAGAACCGGGTGAATGTGAAGTGTTGAGTCTGCTGGTTTGCCAGAAAGCAGGCCTAGTCGGTGGACAAACTTCTTCTGCAAGTCATCATCGAGATTATTTTGGGCTCGGAAAAAGACAACTCCACGTTGAGAGACTGTATCAGAAGGTGGTCAGCTTTGAGGCTTGTAGATAGACTGAAAATGCGAGTTAGAGATAATTACTTGTAATAGCAACGTCGCGAATCAGTTCATCGGCATTTTCGGCATTCAAGAGGTCATCGACGATGTTGACATTGTGAAATTCACGACCAATGGCGGGAGTCGTATCCTCAAATGAAAACTTGTCCAAAACACCAGTAAGCTTCAGTGGGACAGGGTAAGTAGTGCCATCCTTAGGTGCAGGGCGAGAAGGAAGAGACGAGTCTTGAATTCCAGGAGCCATGGTGAAGACGATGCAATAGCAATCGGAATGTTCACTCTTGTTGAAAATCTACGTTAAGTTTCTGGGCCCAATTCCACCATTTATATAGAGCCGGGCCATGGCAAAGGATGAGTATACGTAGCACGCAATAAATTGTACGACTCGCACCTTAGCCGAGATAATCATATTTTACAGCGGTTAGTCCAGTATAGGATATGCGGGGTAACTATCCGGCACGCCTTTCCCGTCCATACTAGTAGTAACTAGTCGAGAGTGTAACTAGGATTATAATGATCTACACAGGAGATAAATACGCTCGATCAAAGCCAGAAAACATTTGAGAATAGGTCCGTGATTGGCTTTCAGATGTTATTTTGAATGCAGAATAGTTAATGCATCGGTCGCATCTATCCAGCCCTACCCAATCAAGTTCGAGGGCGAGGGATCGCGATATCCTCACCCGAAATCACACCTGACAAAACCAGCCAATGTAAGCTAATTGTATACTGCGGCAGATTCGGCAGATTCGGCTATTCCGGTAGATTCGGTGGATTCGGTAAATTAAGTGATCCGACGAGAGCAATTCGAAAGAGAATGATCTCGTCGAGTTTAATATTTAAAGGTCCGGACCTCGGAAGCCTTCAAATACTATACTAGTACTTCAAGTTGTCTTCTTAATTTTGTATCGGGAGACTTGCGACCCGTCACTCAAATCGACCACCACCGATTCCAACTTGTACCCAAAGACCCACGGCAATAGTACAAAGCGGATGGTATAATATATGACACCAACAGCTAGAATAGCTAGTGCCACCACAGGAGAAAGGTAGTAAGGAAGACTGGTGTTACCTTTACCACTAGATGGAGGAATAAAAGGCATCACCAAAAGAAACTGGGTTGATTCGTCAGCATAAATTTGACATTGCAAAGAGAGATTAGGAGCAACTTACGATGTTGCTGGCGAGATAGAAGCCCAAAATCAGCCAAGGAACTCTAAAATTAGATTGAAAATCTTCATCCTTTAAAAGGCGCAGTTTGATCAATCCAATAGTAACAAATGTCAAGAGAAAGACTGTAGGATAAGTTCCAAGTCCAACGACAAAATCGAAAGCAGCGCCTGCGGGAGGAGCACAAATTAAGATAATACTCACCCCCAGGTGAATTGCGAGCGCGCTAATGGGAGTCTTGAATGGTCGATTTTGCATGACAATATTGGGAAAGGGCGTGACACCATCTTTGGCTAATTCTTGCAAGACTCGCGCTGTCATTTCATATAAGCCTCTGACTTGAGAAATAAAGGATGCCACAAATCGTCGATACATACAAACAGTGAAAGCCACACCTAGCAGGTGACCGATGGCAGAGATAGCGACCAGAGCAGGCAATGCTTTAATAGCTGCAGAATTGCCAAAGACGTTGTTGAAAAGAGAGGCAGCAATTGTCAGATCGGAAGCTAGGAAGTCTTCGCGCGAAACCCCGGCAAACTGAAAACATTTTAGTGGGTGGAAATTATCATCTGGGGAAATGGACTCATACATATGCAATGTTTGCTAGCACATAGAGCACGGTAACCAGACTCATGGCGGTAGGAAGTGCTATGCGAAGAGTACGCTGGGGATTCTTTACTTCAGACAAGACCTGGGAGCACAAGTTAGCCTCTGAATGTTGCCGAGTACAGCGTGAGTGGTAGCTACCGCATTTAGATTATCATATCCTTGGAAAGAAAAGATTGCATCTAGCAATGCGGTGCCGATATTATAGCCGCTACTCGAGGTGCCTCGGAATGACGAAGAGACAGAAAGGTTGTCTGGCTTAGGAACCCTAAGATGGCCCCCCAAGGCAGCGAATCCTGTGCATACGATAAAAAAGAGTGTGAATAGCTTCACGATGCTAAGAACATCTTGCAATCCTCTTCCCACTCTTGGTGCCACTGTATGAATACCGACGGCAAATGAGACAGCAGAAATAGCCAGTCCTCGAAGTTTCCAGGTAGTAGAATCAACTGAGGCGGCTTTGAGAATATAAGATGAAGCTGTGATGGCGTTACTAGCCGAAGTCTCTGTAGTGAATAACCAAATTAGTAACTGAAGACTGATAGAAAAAAAGAGAAGAGAAGACCCACGTAGAATAGCACAGTAGAAGAGATATACACAGGTTACTAAAAGTCGGGGTGAAAAGCACCGCTCTAGATAGACTTTCATACCACCCGATCTTGGAATACCGCTACCAAACTCGAGTAGTACCATGGCACCACATGTTGAGATTACTCCGGCGACCACCCACAGAATTAAGGCTAGTCCCGGACTGCCACTTAGTTTGAAAATAGAAGTTGGAGTCGAGAAGATTCTATTTTGGGTGAGTAGCTGTCCAATGTTTAGTCAAAGATAGGCTCACATACCCTGCACCAATGATTTTGTTCACGATGAGTGAAATCGCCCCAAGAAGGCCGATCCTGCGTTCTTGTAGAATGTGCGCCTCCTTAACCTGAAGGCTGGAGTTCGAGCCATCGTCGCTGCTGGAGGACGAATCCGCCTCGGTGGATGCTGATTCGTCAGTAAAGAGCCGCATCTTTGTTCGACGAAATTCAAGCCAATCTTACCGTGTGCGATTTGGGGGTGCTTGGACATGGCGGTATTGTGTTCTGACCATTGTTTAGCCGGCCAAAAGACTTAAATGGCAGTTACGGAGTACAAGATGCACCATTCTGAAATGACAACTATGTAGCATAAATGTCGTGATCGTCCTAATCCTGGTGTGGGCACGCGCCGCGCCCAAACAGTCCGCTGATCTGTCGCCATCGGATGTTTATATGGAATGATAACGGACCCACTTGATGCAATATTCGAAATATTATTAGTGTGCAATAGCATGGAGCCTGCGTGTTTAGAAAGAAACAAGTTCAGCGAAGCTCTGTGTTTCTGTTCCTGGAGCTTGTCGTTTGAGTTCCAAGGTTGGGGACGTGGATTAATGATGACTCTAGGGCTGCCTTTAATTTATACCTCAGCATCACAAAAATATCTTAAGATTCTTGAAACTACTACTAGTACCACTAGGCACTGGTTGATGCCCAGCAAACGAGGACTGAGTGGTCTCATTGAAGTTCGAATTAGTATATTGTCGACGCTTAATAATTTGAGATACTATTACTGATACCTCCTAGGTAATAGTAATATTAGCATAGACATAGGCTATACTGATAAATTAGGTTAATAATTTGAGCCTTAGTACAGTTGGTACTACTAGTCACTACTAGTAATGGTAAATATACGAGCGGTTCGGTTGAAGCTGTGATCTACTCCTACCCCCAGCCCTGTTCCAGCTTGCAGACCATCAATCACCCTACTACTATTAGTACTTGACTAGCGATTTAGAACACGCTTGCTGGTGTAAATGCCACGCACGACTCTGATCCCCCCGCTTTTCTACCCGCGAATTTGGCGTAACATGTTGAATATTTAACAATGCAGATCGATGCAACACAGCTGAAAAATCGTCGTGAGTGGGGCTTATGCTGCGAACCGCAGCGAATGGATGCTTTTTGATTAATTAACTGTCCGAAGAAATAGGACATGGCGCGATCAAACGCGATCGCAGTTTGTACGTAAGAAATACAAGGTCGATGTTTATTTAAGTGCTTGTCTATCTTAAACCTTGGGGGCTGGCTGTTTCTGCAACGGTTATTCACAGTCACGGTTCAATCTTGTCAACATGTCCGCTGTCGAAACGATCACTCGGCCTACTCAGCCCGATATTGAGTATCACCCCGACTTCGCAAAATACCAGGAGCGAACTCGTCTTCGACTTGAATCTGGAAATCTTCAAACCGATGTGCCGACTGGGTTTCCGTCCCAGCTTATCTCTCCTCTTGTCTGGGAAGGAAAGGATATTGAAAAGCGGAGTGACTGGGCTTATCATTTGAATGATGGTCAGCTTGATGAGATTGACGCTGCCTTGAATAGTTTTAAGGGTATGCATTTGGAAACTTCTAGAGCCAAACAAAAGCTAATTTTGTAGCCCTCAATAAGCCGCTCGGGCACATCAACCAGTTCACGTTCCCTTTGCCAAACCTTCATTCAGTCCTAAGATATCTTTCTAAAGAAATCCACAATGGCCGGGGATTCTTTGTATTACGGGGACTGCGCATCGATAGCTATTCCCGAGAAGACAATATCATCATCTACACCGGCGTTTCGTCCCATATTGGATGCATCCGTGGTCGCCAACAGGACACGCGACTTCAGAATGGAACTTCCCCGGTGATATCGCATATCAAGGACATCAGCAACACCGTTGAGAGGGAGAAAATTGGCGCACCTTCTAATACGGCCGATAAGCAAGTTTTTCATACAGACGCAGGGGATATAATCTCTCTTCTTTGTCTGAGTCCTGCGGCCGAGGGTGGTGAAAGCTATCTTTCCAGTAGCTGGAATGTCTATAATATTCTGGCAAAGGAGAGACCTGATCTCCTCCACACTTTATCTCAGGATTGGCCAGTTGATGGGTAAGAAAAAAGCATTATTTGTTCCCGCTTCCCAGGACCTGAAAATCGATGCTAATTTACTCGCACAGATTCAACAATCCAAACAAGCCATACACTCTTCGGCCTCTTTTGTACCACCAGCCAGCTACTACAAGTACCCCCGAGCGTGTGCTTATCCAGTATGCCAGGCGTTATTTTACAGGCTTCAAAGCCCAGCCTCGGTCGGCTGATATCCCTCCAATCACGGAAGCCCAAGCAGAGGCACTCGATGCACTACACTTTCTAGCAGAAAAGCACAGAGCGTCCTTAGACTTCCAGAAGGGCGATATTCAATACGCCAACAATCTTAGTATCTTCCATGCTCGCAATGGATTTAAAGATGCACCTGGAAAAGAGTATGGTTCTTCTAACCATTGATACCTAGAAGTTGCTAACATTAGTAGGCGACATTTGCTCCGACTTTGGCTACGCGACCCAGAAAATGCCTGGGTAACTCCGGAGCCACTTCAGCACCGTTGGGATACAGTTTATAAAGATGTAACCGAGGACGAACAAGTATTCCCTCTGGAGCCGATTCTTCGAAAGAATGTGGGTTCTTAAATGCGCGCCTTGAAGAAAGGCGATTTTCTGAGCATGAAATACTGTATTAAGGTTCCTGGGTGAAGCACAATCATTCACCAATTGCCTAATTAAGATCTTATTGATCAAATATCCACACTGATATTCTTATTTTGAGTACCGGAATTTCCACGGGGACACCGTAGATCACCCGAGGAAGGGGGGTAGGCCATGCAGAATTGTACTTCACTGATACGACTCAAATGAAGATGAAACCTTTAGCGATAGGACATGATTGACTCTCCTGCGGGTTGTTCCGGCTGAGAAGATACCTTCTTATGAAAACGGAATGTCTTCCGCTCACAAAAGCTACCACACACACGAGCCCTATGCTCTCCTATATTAAATAGAATACACCCTCTTTAATTGGCTTTCCACTAACTAGTCTATTCTAGCTAACATCTATTGGTTAGGCATCCAGTCTCTAAATGATTGGTACTGGGACCAATAATTGGGAAATTTTATTCCACTCCAGCCTTGCTTCCGACCGCCACATATTACCTTCATCGTCGAGGAAACCGATCTCACTCTGCAGTCGACCAGTTCAAAGCGTCCTTGGCATCTTGGAAGCGGAAATAAAGTGCATTTAGGCACCCTAACAGCGGAACAAAGACCAGGAATAGTGTGCGGGGGAGATGATCGCCAGCACTGCCAAACTCTCGAGGTCTCACATGGTTTTCTAGTCTCCCCAGGGTTGTATTTAAACAAAAGATGCCCATCTCATGCTTTCTAACTTAGATAAGCGCACAACCGCATTGCTTCCGACCAGTTGTTTGGCCCTCATCCCGAGAACCAGATTCTCAGGACCGTATTGGGACTGTTGCGAAGCTCATAATCAGCTCTGTTCCGCCGATTAATCTTGGCACTGCTTTTCTAGTGGCAATTGGTCAATATGGAACCCACCGAAAAAGCCCTTGAGAACGAGCAGGTCGAAGAGATGAAGTCAGAGCAGTCAATGCCTGTGATCGACCGTGAGGCCGAGAAACGATTACTACGGAAGCTCGATATCCATGTTGTCCCGATATTGACTTTCCTCTTTCTTCTCGCTTTTCTCGACCGGATAAATATCGGCAATGCTCGACTGCAGGGGCTCGAGGGAGATTTGAACATGAAGGGGCATGACTACAACATCGCGCTATTCATATTTTTCATCCCTTACATCCTCTTCGAGGTTCCGTGCAACCTTATCTTGAAGAAGGTTTCACCATCGTGGTGGATCAGCGGATTAATGTTCGCATGGGGTAAGTTTAAAGGATGACCACAGAAACAGAAATACCACTAACCTCGTTTGCCTTGGTGTCAGGAATCGTCACGGTTTGTCAAGGTGTTACCAAAAGCTTTGGTGGATTGGTCGCTTGCCGCTTTTTGTTAGGCGTTTTTGAGGCTGGATTCATGCCAGGTTTGCTCTCCTTTTACATGACACTCGGGACTTGACTGAAATTGGTAGGGTGCGTTTACTTGATTGCAATGTACTACAAGCGATACGAGCTACAGTGGCGTATGAATCTGTTCTTCAGTGCAAGCATCATGGCCGGTGCAGTCAGTGGGGTATGGCATAACTGTCTCGCTTGATTCTCAAATGAAAATTGGCACTAAATGGTCGATGAACAGTTACTCGCATATGGGATTGCTAATATGGCGGGAATAGCGGGATACAATGGATGGCGGTGGATTTTCATCATTGAAGGCCTTGCTACGATCGTCGCAGCTGCTGCTTCCAAGTTTCTGATAGTCGATTGGCCCGAGACAGCAACCTTTTTGAATGAAGAGGAACGAGAACTGCTGTTATTCCGTTTGAACGCTGACTATGGCGAGGCAAGAATGGATCGACTGGATGGTCCAACCTGGAAACGCATCCTTAGTGATATAAAAATCTGGCTTGGGTGTGTACCAAGGAAACTACGTCATCTTTCGAAATCGCTAACTATTTTGCAGCCCGATGATGTATTTTGGCATTGTGAATGGTGGCTACGCGACCTCGTTTTTTACGCCGACAATTCTGAAGCAACTTGGTTGGACTGCGATACGGGCTCAGGTGATGAGTATTCCAATCTATGTGGCTGCAACAGTAATCTCGCTATGTGTTGCTGTTGCCAGTGACAAACTCCAGCATCGGTTCACCTTCACAATAGTTGGTTGTGTTGTGGCTACCATTGGATGGGTGTTGTTGCTCTGCCAAGAATCAATCCCAAAGGGTGCACGGTACTTTGCCCTTTATGCCGTCACTTGTGGGGGTTATATTACACAACCTATTCTTTTGGGTTGGATCAGCAATAATATGGGAGGTCACTACAAACAGTCGATTGCCGCCGCCATGCAGGTCGGTATTGGTAATATTGGTGGGCTTGTTGCAAGTAATATCTTCTTCGACTCGGAGGCTCCTACTTATAAAACTGGATTTGGTGTCAGTCTGGGAATGACGTGGATTTGCGGACTAGCCTGTATAATCTGTTTTGTCTGGGTGAAGCGAGAGAACAAACTACGTGATATGGGGAAGCGAGATGATCGATATCAGCTTCCAGAGGACAAGTTTGGCAACCTTGGAGATGATCACCCAAGGTTTAGGTATACATATTGAAGCAAAAACTGCTGGTGATTCATCAAATATTGGGCTATCGCGCCTTGGGTCGAAAATGAAAAGCGACATAATCCGCATTTGACCAAAAATACAGATAAAGATCATCTCTTAACTCCACGGGTGGAACAAACACGTAGCGATGGTGGAGACTCTGCCCGCAGGCGGGCGTGAAAAAAAAACATGCGGCAATCCAGGCTTCAGGTTTTGTATAAATGAGCTTTCATACAAATTGTACTGTATGATACTTATTAGCTATACATACCTAGGCCATGTGGTTGTCCAATGCGAAAATATCCGATAGTCGCCTTTCCGGAATTTACCATTTCCGACAATGATTGGCACGATGACGATGTCGATCTGATCCTTGCGGTGTTACGAGTCAAGCGCCAAGTCAAGCCAAGGGTGCCTGTCATCCTGAAATAGTAATTGGACGATGAGTGCTGATTGCCGCCAGAGTGGCAATAAGGCGGATGACGATCTGATCCGGGGTTCTGCAGGGATTCAGCTAGTCGTGAATAGCTCATCTCCATGAGGTACTCCCTTTGGGCCTTCTACATAGAGAGGGAAATCTCCTGTCATTGGAACACGATGTGCTAGGATCAAGGTTCTAGAATCGCAGACAGTTGGGCAGACTCGCTCTTGAAGATATTGATGTGATTTATTTTCCAACTTGAAGTTCTAGGAATGTATGTACATGTAGATCTTCTCCATATGTATCATGACGAGTACTCGTATCTGGGGAAAGGCCTCTCACAGAGGCAACCACTCTTGTGCTGCCAATATGTTTTTTGACCGATGGACAAAATAGTCCTAGAACATGAAGATCATCAACCCACTAACCTCTCTTTCTCTCCCCATCTCCCTTTCTCCCCAGGACCACCAGGTACCGTCTTACCGCCCCGGGGCTGGCGCCCATTCACGAAGCTAATAATTCACACCGGCTCCACCGGGCAACCTTCCCAAAACCACTGATTGCTGGCTTGGATCGGCACCTCGTTACCGAGATGACGTAAAATAGCCAGTCAGAGCAGGAGAAAGAGTCCTTGGGAGTTCCACGCTTGTTCGACCACATGGTGGCACACGAAACCCTGTCCGAATCCTGTTCGCTCAGTGAGCCTTGGACCCAAAAACTGTCACCTCGACTGTACGGAGTACTCATTCTAGCGAACCCAGCGACTAATGCACCCTAAACCCCTTGGGTCGGATACTGGGCTCCAATCAGACCGTTACGCTCCAAGAGTCCCGCGGAGTTATTTTCGCGGTTAGGCCCGAGAGCCAGTTCCCTCGATCAACGCAGATACTTAATCATGGTCTTCCTCCCGGTCGCCACTTTCTCTTCGGCTTCCAAAAAATCTACAGACAAAGATCCCTCGTCCTCATCCTCGTCTTTTTTCATCATGTCGCAAAGTCGCTCATCGCCCAACAAAACCAGTCGGTCCGTCACCTCCGAAGAGCCATGGAAGGTCGATACTCCCTTCGGCCCTCCACAAGTACCTCGATCATTCCCGAATACTGGCATTCGACGCATACGCGATACTCTCTCGAAGATATCACCAGGAGCACTCGCAGAGAAGGAGGAACTTCGCAGGAAGAATCAATATAAGATTCCATTGACCCACCGGAACGTCGACAACTTCGTGACAGAACAGGAAGTCAACGAGGCCTGCACGCCGAATCAACGCACCCCAGACATTCAGGTGGCTGAATGGCTGGAACACGTTTCTTGAGCTCGAAAGATACCAACCATGGCCGGCCATGGGTTACAATCGTCTCCACCTCCACGACCGCACGGTCGTGCTTGAGTTCGACTAGCCTTCTTCTCGACTTTTCCTCGAGTCGTTGACCCCGCACGACACGCCGATCGAGGCGTAGCCACTAAAGTCAATCCGGGCTTTTGTGCTCTCTCTTATCGCCTGACTGATTCCCGTTACTTTTGTCGGCCTTCTGGCCCCCGATGCCGAGTGCATTTCCTCGTATCCTGTCGCCTTGGCGGGAACGTCATGGCGCAAGGTGGACTGTGGTTACTCATGCACGCCCCCTAGTTGGGCGTATGCTGTTGGCTCCACGGTAAAAGCGGCTCCCAAATACAGTTGTTGGTCCCATGTTTGATCGGATAAATCGGATCAAACTACCTACCACTCTTATCAACCTCTTGTCGCATAAGGGCTTTTGGTTGCAAGGCGTCGTCCATGATATGCCTACATACTTGTACATAATTCTGATCTGAGAAAGCATGGATTGAGAAAGGTGTAACTAATTCACTCAGTGTTGCATCGCTGGTCAAGTGATCGGATCGTGTTTTAACAATCAGCCATTTCTCGGTGGGCCGATCGCCCATTGCGGCTCTGTTGGACACGGCCACGAAAGGCCGCTAAACTAAAGAAGTCATGACTTGCATATTAATACCAATATCTCTAGCATAATATAAGATTTTCAAAAGCTGCATATCTTTCCCAATCTATCTAGCAACATATTTATGCGTTGTTCATGTCGAGAGGGGGCGAGGGGCGAGAGAGAAGACGAGTGCCAAGTCGCAGGATGCCCCCACCGCGGGGGATTTTTAGGGTTTACCACCACTGCTAGTCATGACGGGTACTTTCCAAGGTTTATTGGTCTTTGCACCTAGGACACTACCTAGGATCTTATCACTTTGATCTCCTACTCCATAGAGAGAACCCCATGGCTATACCACCCAAGAAAGTGGCCATCATCGGTTGGTCGCCCATCGGCCATCGGCCACTCTAGCCCCGAACAGCCTACTGATCCAATTCACTCTAGGAGCCGGCCCATCCGGCCTGGTCACTGCAAAAACACTGTTGCATAATTTCCCACCTGGGAAATTCGCTCCAGTTGTATTTGATAGTCGATTTGAAGTCGGTGGTCTTTGGAACACTGGCGCCGCCCCCACTAAAGCTCGAGATGCCAGCGACCCGGTCACTTTGGATCCCCGGATGCGCACGAATCTCAGCCGCTTCACAGTTGCATTTTCCGATCTTGCCTGGGAGTCCGTGATTGAAGATGGGGACATTCCGATGTTTCCGCAGGCCAGCCAAGTTGGCCAGTACTTGGCGGCTTATGCACAGCGCTATATCCCCAAGGATGCTTTCAGGTTAGGGAGCTATGTGAGACAGACTAAGCGATTGGTCCAACCAGATTCTTCTATGAAATGGAGGGTTTTCTGGGACCAGAAAAGGTATGTACCTAGCTGGGACCCGGGCCGGCCATGACTTTCTAGAACAAATGTTGAGATGGTATAATTCTCTAGTGCCCGATTAGTTGATCATGATCAACCACAGGCAGCCAGTTCAGAGAAATCCGAGGATTTTGACTACCTTGTGGTGGCATCTGGATACTTTGCCCGCCCTCATATACCAAAGATACCAGGGTTGGCGCAATTCGACGGCCGGGTTGTCCACAGCTCGGCTCTCGCCAAAGGTCATGACGCTGCCAACGATGAAGACCTTGCTCGAGGGAATATTCTCGTTCTCGGAGGAAGTATGTCTGGCGTGGAATCCGCATCGACATTTGCGCTGCACCGTTCTACTTCCAAATTTCATAATGTGAATGGGGGCAAAAATACGCCAGCAAATCATTCAATATATCACATATCGTCAAGACCATTTTGGACATTACCAACTTATCTTCCGCATACACTCCCGTCTTCCAGCGTTAAATTCCTTCCACTCGACTTGACAATGTACGATTTGGATCGCCGACCCGCCGGTCCAATAGAGTACTACCTTGGACCCATCCCAAAAGAGAAGGCAGTCAAAACCAATGAATACTTCCGATCATTGCTTGGCGCAGAATACGAGAAATTCGGACACGTGCATCAAGGAGGACCAGGAGCTTCGAATTCCAGTCCGCCCTGGGTAGCTATAGGCAACGACTATGCTGGATTCGTTCAGTCAGGTACGATCGTACCGAAGATGGGTCGAGCTGTGTCCATTCACCCAGATCGTACCAACAAGGTAGCAGCTGTCCAGATCAAGACAGCAGATGGCGAATCAATAAAATTAGAGAATATCGCATCCATCGTGATGGCTACAGGATTCACCCCGTTTGAATCCCTATCCTTCCTTCCTGAAGATATCTTGTCTACTTTGGAGTATACCACCGATGACTCATTCCTCCCACTGGTTCTAGACCAAGGTGGCAGTCTCCGATCAGAAATCCCAGATCTTGGCTTCGTCGGATATTATCGTGGTCCCTACTGGGGTGCCATGGAGATGCAAGCGCGATTTCTCGGCAAGACATGGGCCCAGGAAAACCATGAGCTCGCTACGGTTGAGTCGCAGATGCAAAATATTCGACTTTTGAGACAGCCAGCCACGCAGACTTGGCGAGGCCAATTTCCGATGGGTGACTATGTAGGACTTATGGAAACATTCGCCAAGGATTTGGGGATTGAACGCACTACTTTGCAAGGCTTAGAGGGGTCTGGTCCCGTTATCCCCGCTCGATATATCTACAATGACTTGCCTTCCAACGAGTGTCAGAATCGGGGCATAGAGAACTTGAACAGTGAGGCAAAGTCAACTCTGGATTCCTTGTCCTCAGTAGGACTTCGCGGTACTGGTGATACCAATACTCTTGACTCGCAGACAGGCATAGCGACGGCCATATTCCGAGCTCTTCATGGAGAATGGAAACTCGCCAAGAGGGGATATATCGGCGAAATGAGTGGAACAGTGACATTTCATCCACGGTACCCCACAAATCCTGCATATGATAGGGAGTATGTCTGCGAGAAGCTAGTTTCGGAGTACGCCGATATGACATGCAACACGAAGCAAACCATCTGGCGATTGTCAGAAGCAGGCGGCACTGGTTTCCCGATCCGGATATATCCCATGGAGGCAGATGGAGATGGATTGGAAATTCAAACCACCAATGACTTGAAGCTGCGCTCTGCGCAACATGGAAAGAATGACGATATTGGACCGAACTCAACAGTAAATCCTACAGTCGACCATCAGCCCGATTATATTCTCCAAGACAGCACGTGTCGCTACAAATTCTGGTTTGATCGTGTTTCTATCTCGAGATGGGAGATTTCTCGTATAGAAGATGATGTGGTATCAGATGGGTCGACTGCTTCGACTATGTACACCAGGTTCTAGACCGTCTAGCAACCATTGAAATTTTTGGCATGACGGCCGCTCCTGGCGACCTATTCACCACGGCTTTGCATTTTGACATAATAAAGCTACATGTTTTATGTGTAAAATTCAGGAACTAGAGACAAACGTTCTTCCGTAGGTTAGCGCAGAGCCTCGGTTCCAGGCTTCAACAACTTTTACCAGGCTCCATTGGGAAGGTAAGGTGTAAAAGAAAACAATTAAGGTTCATTTTGGCAGCTGAAACGATACCTGCAGGGCTACCGATAGCCGAGGCGCTAAACTAGTGACCTAGCAAGTCAGATCATAACTGACCGGCGAATCATTGATCGGAATGTATGGATACCGATGGATTAGCCTCGCACCTGCCTACCCTAAATTGAATCCGAGTATTTTAATTCGCCTATCTGAAGCTGAATTAATTTTCCTCTGGCCAACCAGCTGGCCGACAGAGCTTTTGTGATCGCCTTCGTTTCCGGCCGAGTGGCAACGGCACCCCCGTTGTGATCCAGGGAACCAGGGTCCATCCCCTTACATCACAGGAAAGAAAGGATCTTGATCCCGACCACTTGGATTCAATGTTGCATTTTCGTATTTCTTTTTTGATGTTCCATTTATGCACTAGCCAATTGACGCCACCCGGTTGCAAGAACCTGGCCAGTTCTAGTCTGGGGTAGAGCCACGGTGGTATGAATCCGCCGGCACGATGCGAGCCTCAGAACCAGGGCTCCATCGGATTTACGGCACGGCGTCGGCCGAACCAATATTTTGTTGCATTTATTCCTCTTAAAGCTATATAAACAGACCACAGGGCACCGGAATCCCTGTCGGATGTTTTCTATCAAAGATATCAAGATCAAAAGATCAAAGGATTGCAACTTTGGGCTGGAAGGCGGGAAATATCAACGAACATTCATCCCATTGCATCAAATAGCCCTCGCCACCCTATTCCAGGTGTACAATTGAACTCTACAACTGGTATATATGAACAGCTGCAATATGGAAAAGCGCAGTTCATCCCGAGACACCGAACCACCACTCACTCTGGACCCAATATCCGAATGGCGCGCCTGGCAAGCCCTCTCCGTCTACTTCACCGTGCTATTGAACCGTCAAATCCGACGCCGGTGGCTCCTCGAACACGAATCGATGAAGAACAAGCCCATGTCAGAACATTTCCGTCCTATCATTTTCCTCGAACCAGTCCCAGCACTACACAAACCCATCATCCCGAACAACACAAACCCAACACAAACTGAACTTGACCCCGTCAATGCAAACTTCAATTCAAAATACAACCCCTACAACAAACCAGCCCTAGAGTCCCTAAAAACAAAAGTCCACCTCCTCCGCGCCCGCGTCGAAAAGGGCAAAGAACTCGCCTCAGAAATCGAACGACGCATGCAAGACCCACGAATCCAATTCCCGACTCATTTCTGCCATACATGCGTGATGGGCGGCAACTGTGCCGATGTCCTACTGACAAAGTGCGGACATCGGGTTTGCAGGACTTGTCTCTCATTCGGAATTGATGAGGATGGTATCTATGAGTGCAGTATTTGTTTTGCGCCGGCTTCGTTCGTGGTTAAGTCGCCGCTTAATGGTGGTTCGCAGCAGAGGTCTTGCTCGGAGCAGATTTCTAGTGTTTCTATGAGGCTTATGGCTCCTGGGAAGCGTAAGTCGCCTTTGTGGTCGCCTCTTGCTTTTCGGAATTGAGTTTTTGTTTGACTGGTTTTCTTTTTAGTGGAGTGATTATGGATGGGGTTGTTACAAGGTTTCTTTGGGGTGGTTTTATGAGGGGGTTCTTGAGTGATCACTTTCTGGTTTTCTTTTTTCTTTTCTTCTTTCTGCTCTTCGGCATAGCGGCATTTGCATACTGTATAGAAGTGGCTCTTTGGCTCGCTAGATTATACCCATATCTTAATATTATCATATACCAACTTAACTCACTACTTCAAGTTTTTCAACTGAACACCTAGACTTCCCGACAACCCAAAGTAATTCTATTTCAATTGCAGGTTTCTATTCATGCCAGAGCCAAAAAGTATACAAAGACAATATTCGAATATCACAATCTAGAAATATCTAAGGCGCTAGACTGCGAATTTGGGGACATCGAGACATGAAGAGAAATGCATCACGAGACACATGGTCTGAGACAGCCACACCCACACACCGATTCAACCAGACAGAGGAAACGCCATTCTTTTTTTTCGTACAATGACCATCACAGTGCCAGAAAGAAAACATATCATAGAGCAAGGGGTTGGGGTCGGGGGTCGGGGGTGGGCGCGTATATTGCGGGCAGGGAGGTAATGGATGAAGAGACATTATACAGGAAGAGTAAGTTATGCAATCATGCCAGCTGATCACAGCTGACCACCAGCTACCCAAAATTCTCAAAAAAAGAGCAAATGCATGAGACGCGGTAGGGGAGGGAGAAGGGGGCCGTAAATTAAGGGACATTTATGTGGTGGGTATCTAGACATGATGGAGAAAACCACGATTTGTGGAAGAAATAAGAAAAGGGGAGAGAGGAAAAACATCAAGCATCTCCCCTCACATATCTTCGGCATGTTCTCCGTCGTCAATAACCATCGACACACCCTTAACTGGATGTAGGAGCATAGGTGGGAGACACATGCGGCCCTCGCCGGCCAACTCTTGTTGCTCGCCACCGTCATTGTCGACGCGCAGTCCAAGCCAACGGCGCCAGATATTCGGCGAAAAGCCGGCAGAGTAAAACCAAGTTGTACCCTTGAAGTTGTGCTCGCGCTCACCAAAGATAGACGTGCGGGCTCCGCCAGAGGCACCGTTACGACCGGCATTGAAGACAGACTCCAAGTAGCGTGTGGGCCATCGGCGGTCGATGTAGACGGCGTGCGGGACAAAGACGGCCTTGAAACCGTGGTGGAGAGCTGTTGTTGCGGGCCACATCTCTGAGAACATGCTGTGGTGCTTGAGACTGCACTCGCGGTGCATGGTGGTAAGAAGCTTGCGGGAGATCCGAGAAGCGGTGATGATTGCAGTTCGGCGCGGGGGCATGCCCTTCTCCTTGTTGTAGCCTGTAACATCGTCGCGAAGTAGCCAAGTAGTGCCTTCGGGATCGTATAGCGGGTTGAAAACAATAAGGTCGGCGTCTTCGCCAACGCCCCAGGTATATTGGTCCTTCTCCATCGTGGTCGGTGGGATTCCTTCACCCTCCACCTCGAAGATATCACGCTCGTCGGGCCGCTCGGGGCCCCAGATGGATTTGTCACCTTGTTGGTGGTGCATCATACTGCGAGCGTTCTCTCCATCGGCGCTGGGCTTCCTAGCACTCCAAAGATTATTAGGGCTGTTGGTACCACTCTCCGTCTGGACGCGAACTGTGTGGCGGAAGTCATCCCATGAACCATGAACAGAGGGAACGTAGAAGCGGGCATTTCGGTCCCAGAGACCCTTGCGAGGCTGTTGTTTGGCCCACTCGGCAACCTTGTCAAAGAGATGGTACCAGTGGCCAGTATAGCGGGCATCCATCTCCCAATTCCAGAAATAGTCGTATTCAGGGTGTTGGTAGGCAAAGTACTGCATAGGCATATAAGTGCTGCGGTATACACCGTGGATGGGTAAGCCGCGAGTCAAGGTTTCCTCCAGGCCGGGGTACATCAGAGCCATTTGCTGCTCCGACCAAAGTGTCCCCATACCACGGAATTCCTCGGGCAATGCCTCGTCCAGCACACGCTGGTATGTCTCGTCGTCCGACCAAATTTGAAGATTGGCGTTCTTGACGTGGATAAGGAAATGGATGGTGTACTCGCCACCGGAAACAAGCGACAGCTCGGAGATCACAGATCGCAAATACATGATGTCCTCGGGGGTGTACTGGAAGTCGTGCCAGGTTCGAATAACGACAGCAGTCCTCGGGAGTCGATCCGAGCCAATCTTAGGCTTCGTCGTCGAGCTATCCTCCGGGGAGGGGATGTTCACATTGGGAACGCCCACGGGCATCGAGACGAACCGGTTCAGGCGCGGCTCTGGTAGCTCACTGAAACGATGGCGGTTCGCAGCGTGGCACCTTTGCTGTGCGCCAGCCCAATCCACGCCACGGTAGTCAATTGGAGGGGAATCCTCCCAAATGCGCTCGGCGCCATCGCGGTGACCTTCCAGACCAGCGCCAATGCCGCCTTTCTTGACCCCATACCCCAATCCATAAGGGCCAAGACGGCCAAACCGATCAAAGCACATATCATCCTGGATTCCCAGCATTGAGTTCGACCCCATGGCTGGGTCTGGGAATCCTTCTGGTACTCCAGGGTAGGACTGGATGAGCGGTACGCGAGTCTTGCCGTCCCTGTCCAAGAAGCACTCACGCTTCTCGCCATATTTACTAACGTAGTCGGCGGACGCGTAGTCGGGGTATGGGTTGAAAATCGAGCTCGACATGGTCGGCTTCAAGTCCCTGGCGCTCAATTTATTCTCTTCGCCGTCCGCAGACGAAGTGTCGTCCCGCGGAAGTGGCATGCCTTCTGGGCCATCGCCAGGGTATTCGGGAACATTGTCCTTGCGTGCAATCAATTTCGACAGGCCGCCCTCATAGCGATTCAGCATTGGGAAGCTCTCCCATTGAGGAGGTTTGTTGGTGTTGGCTTTAGGGAGTTCGACCACGACCGGCGAGATCGACGAAGAGATGGTGAACCGGAAGAGTGTGAGGACAAACAGGAGGAGAGAGACGAAGAGAGCGAAACAGAGCCATCGCATAATCCGCTGAGGCACACGGAACCCCACGCCGGCCTGGGCACGGCGCAGGCCCGCGCCGTTCATGACAGGTGGGTAGGAGGTGGAGGAGTGTTCTGGGCCGCCATTGTCGTCGCTTTCGGATTCGCTTTCGGAGTCATCGCTGCGACGGTGATGGCGGTAGGGATGACGGCCAATGGGTTGTTTCTCGACGTCGCTATCGTGTGTTCGTGAGTTATAAGGTGAGGGTTTGTTATAGGCGGCGGAAGATCTCCTGGCCTGGACGGTCATGTTGCCGGGGCAGTCGTGAACATGGGAGGGAGGAGTGCGACAATTCAGTAGTACATCTGTCGGGGAAGTATGATTCTCAAAATAGAAGCGGACGCTAGTGGGTTGAAAAGGGGGGAGGATGAAGAGGAAGAGGAGTAGAGGCACGCGATGGAAGTGGTGGCAGATCGTCGGCCTGGCAATAACTCGTGGGGGCGTGACGCTGTTTTTGCCGCGGAGGAGACCAATGCAGCCACACAGAGAGAAAACAGGATACTAGTAGAGAACAGCACAGGGCTGAGTAGAAGAGTTCAGGGGAAGAGTTTGCACGCAGGTTCACATTAAATCACCAAGAAAATCAACAAAAAAAAAAGAAAAAAGGCTCGGCGCATCTGCCAAGCCCACAGGAGAAAATGAGGGATTACGCATGTGCTGCTAAATTTGGCTGCAGATGATTGCTCATTTGGGTGGGAAGGGAAGATTACCACTGGCAGACTCTGGCAGGGGGTATACGAGTAGAGTATAGACTGATAGACTCAATTTGAGCGTAGTTATAAGTCGGAGAAGCTACGAAGTACGGAACCACAGGCATAGAGACAGGTCAGAGATCAGAAATCAGAATCAGAACTGATGATACTGATAGAAATGATGCAATCAATCGAAAAAGGAGAAACCAGCAATTTTGACGTGGCGCCAGAGAGAATAGAACAAATGAGGCTAATAGCATAGCGAAGAGAAATAAAGCCATGGTGAGCAAAAACACGCAAACCCGGCCAATTGTCCTGTCCATCCAGGATGGTGGCCTCGTGAAAGAACTCCGCCATAATCATCAATCCATCATTTGCAGATTTCCCGTGGTATTTCTCTTGCTCTGCTACGTACACACTCCTCCCCCATCACAATTTCGTATTATATCCGTTTAATCGCGGTTCGTTTTCCGGAGAGTGTCGGCGAGCCACTCCAGACCCTCGTAGAGACCGTCACCGGTGGTGGCGCAGGTGGATTGGATGAACTGGGAGGTGTCAGTGTTAGCAGGGGAACGGGGAGCCCGATCGGAAGCGCAAGTAGCCCTCTCGGGGGTGATATAGAAAGAAAACTTACCCAAGCGCGGCGGGTCAGGCTCTGGAGGCCAAGTTGCTGGGTAATCTCGGCGGGGCTCATGGCGTTCTAAACAAAGCGCATGATCATTAGTACTCCGTCTCCCGCAGTGGTTCAAAGGGGATGAAAATCCGAGGAAAAGGGTTTCGTCGGAGATTGAGATTGAGATTGAAATCCTTACAGGCAGATCTTGCTTGTTGGCGAAGACCAAGAGAAGGGCGTCCCGGAGCTCATCCTCGTTCAGCATGCGCTGCAACTCCTCGCGGGCCTCGACAATACGGTCCCGATCGTTGCTGTCAACCACGAAGATGATACCCTGGGTGTTCTGGAAGTAGTGGCGCCACAGAGGACGAATCTTATCCTGACCACCGACATCCCACACGGTAAACTGGATGTTCTTGTACTCGACGGTCTCGACGTTGAAGCCTGCGATTTGTCGAATGTCAGCGAAACCCACAAGTTGTGCCTTTGTGTATTGCGCGGTCGGGGGGGATTTCCGGCAAAAGAATTGAAGTGGCGATGTCGCAAAGATGAATCGGAGGAAGACTGACCGATTGTAGGGATGGTAGTGACAATTTCACCGAGCTTGAGCTTGTACAGGATGGTGGTCTTTCCGGCAGCGTCCAGACCGACCATCAGAATACGCATCTCCTTGCGACCCCATAGTCTATCAAACAGCTTCGAGAAGGTGATACCCATTATGGCGGAGACTCGAAGCCCTGGAAAATTGGAAGTGGAGGTTAGATTTGGGTGGGAGTCAAATCAGGGAGAAGAAAGGCGGAGGGGAGGGGGAGGGGGGGAGCGAGATTGGAAAACGTGTTGTGTTGGGGATTTTAGGGTTTAGGGGGGGGGGCAAAGGAAGGGATGATCATGTGGTAACAGGAAAATAGAGGGCAAAGAGAAGGGGACAATAAAAGAAGAGGATATAACATACCGGGTAATATGTGTGAGTTGGGTAAGGAAGAGGAGGAAGAGGGGAGAGATGGAAGGTGAGGTTGATAGGGGAAGAAGGGAAGTGAGAGTGTTGCTGGTGTTTGCTGGTAACAGACAGACAGAGACAGACCGACACCGAGAGAGGCCTGTTTTTTTGTTTGGGAGCGGCCACTGCAACTGCAACTGCACCCAGTGAAATACGCAGGCGGTGACTCTCCTTCTTACTCTACCCTGTGACTTATGGCCAACAGGCACCCATCATCAAATTGCCAGTTTTTGATTCCTATTCTATACAAGTGGTCATCTACTATACCATTCATCACATCCTTCCCTTCACAGAGGACACCGTGTTGGCCCCCGTATCTGAAATACCGGAGGCGAGGGGGGCGCGCACCACTTGGACCATGACCCAGCGGCTTCACCCAGATCTGGACGCCTGGTTGGCCCCGCTGATAGGCTCACGCTGATTATCAGCCCCATCGATGCCCAGAAAAGAAAAAGAAAGACGCCATCCCCGGTGGGACTGGTCCCCGTGGATATGCATATGGACCTGGACATGACACCATCCACCTCTACCCTCTCCACGATGATCATGATCTCCCTCACCCTCACCCTCACTCGCGCCGGGGCTTGCTGGACTTGCTGGACTTGCTCATCCTCTCTCGCGATTTCCGAAAGAACGTCTTAAGCAATGACTGATAGATCGTCTTCCCTTCCACCGTATCGCTTGCCTTCCCGAACACCGTCAACACAAGCACCGACACAAATAGAATCACCGCAAACGCCACCCAGTACTGCGCCTGCGTGTATCCCCCCCTTGACACCCTTCAGTTCGGTCGAGAAATAGGCTGTCATCAAACTGACCGGAAGGAACATAATGGTAGCCTTGGCCAACAAGATCGTGATTCGTGTCAACTTCTCAACCGCTTGAGAGTCCTTGAGCGCAATCAAGTTAAAGTTCTACAGTCGCCACGACGCGCAGGTTAGCAGGCTGAACCGGACTGACAAGTAATGGAAACGTGGCCGAAAAAAAAAGCATCACTCACCAAGAATGTCAATGACTCCTTCTCGCCGAGGCACGTCTCAATCTCACTCAAGCAGTACAAATTGATGCGATCCGCCAATCGCTCGAACCGAGCCACCGCGGCCGAACTCAACAGTACCCCGACCGGCTTGTCATTTGTTGTGAATGGAAGGCTAGAACTGCTCATCAAACTCTCCCGTCGCCTCTCCGCGAACTCGGCTTCCTCAAAAGTGGCTCCAAAGGGTATTGGTCGTTGTTGGGCTCCCCGGGCTTCGTCGCGCAGGAGTCGCTGTCGCTGCAGCACGCGCTGCATGATGAGCTCGTAGCTCTGGTATAGTCGCTTCAGCACGCCGAGCCGGCGACCTAACCAGTGCAACTCGTTCACCAGATCCACTATTGGCTTATCGAGCATTGAACTCCGCTGTAACCTTGTTGTCAGTTACTGCTTGACCACCGGGGATATGCAAGGACCTACCAAATCTTCCAAGAGCATACTGTATTTGTGCTCTCGCTTTGCGACCAAACCGAAGCTTGACATCCAGTCGTCAAAGAGATAATAGAAGAGGAGACTCGGTCCATCATCCTGTTTGATATTCGCCTGGTCTGGACCCACATCGTTGAAATGGCGTACTCGGATGGTGACCAGCGAGTCGTTCTCTGTCTTGCTCTGGTGAAGCCGGGAAACACCCTCGAAGATGGATTTGATATTCCTGCGTGCAATCCTGAGGATCTTTAATTGGTTGTGTTGGAACTCTGCATCTTGTCGAGAGGAATAGATTTTCCTGCATCGAGATCACAGTTCCTATTATCGACCTTAGCAAAAGAAGAACAAATTGCTCCGGTGCTCGCCCCGGTGCTCGTCAACTAATCGCCCTTCCTGCAGTTTGTCACTTACCATCATCACACAGAACCAGCCAAGTCCAGAGCCGTCGGCCCTCGGGAAGGTCTTGTCCATTATTCATTTCCTCCCGAGGAATACTAGTATCGGACGTTGCAAATAGAGTATTATAGCCAATGCACGTATCTGAGCAAATGTCAATCCGAGTTCCTTGTAATTCTTCTCCAACATATCATCCCAATCGCATAACCTACATCGAGGCCCATAATCCGTCGACGAGAAATGCCAGATCTGATCCGTGACCTGAGCAAAAGTAAGTTTCCCAGAATTAGCCGCGGCGCGGGCACTCGCCATCTCAACGCTTTCTGGATCCTCCTTGGCGCGCATTGCAGTTTCAAGATCATCACGGGAGAACGCTTGGGCCTGGTCGAGATCGCGAGAACGAGATTGAGATTGTCGCTTTTTGGAGAGCGCTGCTGCTGCTTGTGGGCGTGGGAGGACTGGTTCGGTGCACATTAGTCCTTGTAGTCGTTCCGAGACGCCGTATTGTGTTGTTATTGCCTATTGATTGGGTTAGAGCGTCATGCAGTGCAGTGGATGAAGGGCAATCGGGTTACCTTGACGGTTTCTTTCTGCTTTTTGGGGGCCCATATGTTACTAATGTTGATGGTTAGATATGAGTATCAAATATCGTGTATGGCCTGTTCCATTGCACCTACATCCACCTCGTGCCAAAGCATTTTGCTCGCTGAGTACTGCGCATTAGTCTAGTCTCGTAATCGTGACTCGTAATCGATATCGAGGGGTGAATTGCATACCGGCTTCTTCAACAATAATTTCAAATCCTCTGTTTCCAAATTCATCGCGCAAAATGCATCGTCGTTTCCAAAGTCCAGTACAAAGTTCTTTGTATGTGGGTCGCTGAGCTGCTGGACGGAATTGTCAAAATGGACTTGCTCGTCGATGTTCTTAAATCGGTCCTTGAGCGAGCCTCGATCACTGGTAAATCCATCATAGTAGTCCTGGGGAGTAGGACCATCCCGCGAATGGTTATGCTCGGCCATGGCGAATGCGTGTGCGTGTGTATGTGTGGGTGTATGTTCAGTTGAATGACCCTGCGACTGGCTTCAACTCCAGCTCCCTCCGCTACCTCACTTGAAGGCAGCTGTGGCCGGTTCGTATTTATTGTCCCGGGCGTTAACTAGTGAGATGAGAGCGGGTCAAACAGAGCGGGGAAGAGAAAGGGACGATCGTATCAGCAAATACAGTCGAAACGGCGCAAAGGAACAAGAAAAAAGAAACAAATTCTGCAGATGAAGAGATACGGAAGTTGAGAGAACAAGGCTGATTGCTACAGAATAAAATAAATACGAGAGCGCTGGGTGTTTCTAGGTTGCCAACCCGAAAAGGGGCAAGTGACCAGTGGAGGCTGACTTGCCGCCAGGAGGTCACACCTAAACGCCGCGGTCAGCTGCAGCCCCCGCTATAATTAGGCCCGATTCAGTTGATCGATGTCTTTGCTTGGTCAAAAGCTTGACGTGGAGGGTCACCCGGGTTAATCTTTTTTGCATATTGAGGTAGTTGGAAAGGTTAGCAGGGTTGGGTCAGATGGAATGGTGACGACGACTATGATGGTCTTCTTATGACTCTTGTTATCACAGGATCTTAGATGCAAGATTCATGTATGAAGAAAGTGGAGTAGAGATCTGGTGGATTTGACTTTTAGATTAATTATGCAATTGTTGTACGATATACTTCCAATGTGGAAAGATCCATGGTTTTGGTCTCCAGGTTGTTAGGTTGATATTTTAGCCAACCACGAGCATTTATACTAGTACCCTACCTCTTACTTTACCTGAGATCTTCAATGTGATTTGTATTATATTCTATTCAATCCTGGGGTACCTGGTCAAATTTCGAGTTCAAGTTGAAGAGACTCGTATTTGATTACATTTGAACCAAATCTCAAATAATAGGGAGTTACGGTTACATAGTACTAGTCCTCTAGAACATGTATTCGGTACTACCTACAAGTAATTTCGAGTTAAAGATATTAATTTTGAGCAGAAACCCTACGCTAGAGGATATTGCACTCAACTTGAAGGGGGAAATCGTCGCAGAACCCCTGTCACCTGAACACGAGCTTCCTACCTAACCCCGCTTCGCAGCCCCCAAAGCTCTGGAGGTTGGCGCTTCCCCAGGACTCCCTTTTACACATCCGTTCACAACGAATATCTCGGCCAGAATGAGCTTCGGCTTCGGTGTTGGTGACTTTCTGGCCGTCTTAAAACTGGCAAATACTGTGCGGAAGCAGTTCAAAGATGCGCCCGGTCAATTCAAATCTATATCCGACGAGTGAGTGGGAGGTACAAAGCCTTGAAATCCACAAATCCCCCTGTGTCTCTCAGACTGACATTTCCAATGACAGCGTAAAGTTATTGTCAAATGTCCTTCGAGATATTGAAGATCAAGACCCAGCTGAGAGTTTGCGAGATGCCCAAAAAGATGTTTTGAACCAGATCTCGCGCAGCTGTGGGGAGCTGCTTGATGAATTGCGCACCACCATTTACAAATACCAGCTGATCGAAGAAAAATCTGTGGATACAAAAAGCATCAGAACAATTGGTCGCAGAGTGTGGAAACGCTTGAACTGGGACGAGAAAGAAATCGATGGGTATCGACAACGTCTTTCTACAAATATTGGCTCTTTCAACTTGTTCTTGGCTCAGGTCAACAAGTAAGTCCCAGCCCTCTCCCGTAATAAGCGAGACCAGCTAACCATAACCAGCCAGCTAAGCAAGGAGTCCAACGAGCTGGCTGTGACCACTCAGCATGGGGTGAAACAGCTTATTGAGTACCAAAATGCTCAGCGCCATGAAGAATGTCTTAAATGGCTCTCGTTGCTCGATCACGATGCCAAACAGGCTGATTTCTTCAGTCGCGTGCAAGAGGGGACGGGAAACTGGCTTCTAAACTCGACCGAATTTCATAACTGGATCAGTACTAATGATCCAGCTCATCAAAAGCTCGATTCCAACACCATTAAAACGCATAGAACTCTTTTTTGTCCGGGCATGCCTGTTGCAGGCAAGACATTTCTGGCATCCATTGTGATCAATCATCTTCAACAAGTACTCCGACCCAACGATGTTGCTCTCGCATTTTTCTTTTGTAATTTTAGAGAGAAGGTGACCCTCGATCAGATGCTTGCCACTTTACTGAAGCAATTGGTTCGACAACAATCATTCATTCCTCACTGCCTAGCAACTCTATTCGAAAGAAGGTCACGTCTCACTACGAGTGATATTGTCACTGGCCTCAAATCTGCGTCGTCGACATTCTCTAAGGTATTTATCGTCATTGATGCATTGGATGAGTGTTATCTCCCCGACAACCTCCGAACAAGATTTCTTTTGGAGATCAGGACTCTCCAAGAAAGTTGTAATTTGCACGTATTTGCGACTTCTCGAGACAACCCGGAGATTACTACTTTGTTTGAGGGCTGTTCGAGTCTAGGAATTCGAGCAAACCCTGAAGATGTCAAGAGATTTCTCCGTGGGCGGATCGGGACACTCCCCAGTGTCGTTCAAAAGAAAACAGATCTACAAGAAGAGATCATCACAGAAATCTCCAAAGCCGTGGATGGAATGTTTGTTATCCTTCCATATTTAACTCCTTTTTTTGGCTCGATTCTGATGCTTTTTAGGTTCCTTCTAGCACGTTTACATATTGACTCTTTGCAGGGTAAGCGGTCAGTCAAATCCATTCGACAAGCATTGAAGACCCTGCCAATCGGATTGGATGCTTCCTATACCGATGCGATGAGCCGCATAGAAAGTCAGCTTCCTGACGAGGTGGAAACTGCAAAAGAGGTCCTTTGCTGGATTTCTTACGCAACAAGGTCCATCACTCCTTTCGAATTACAACATGCGCTTGCTATTGAAGATTATCAGCTGTTTCTTGACCAGGATAACATCTCAGATATTGAGGATTTGATCTCAGTATGTGCGGGTCTTGTCACCGTTGATGAACAGAGTGGTGTCGTCAGACTGGTGCATTATACGATGCAAGAATATTTCGATCGAAACCGAGATTATCTTTTCCCTGATGCACATCACAAAATAGCGTCCAAGTGCATTCACTATCTTTCCTTCGATGCGTTCAGCGATGCATCGGTCTTGGTATCTGTGGGTCACCATCCTCTGCTTAAAGACCATCCTCTTCTCGAATACTCTGCTGGTAATCTAAAACATCATATTCGTCTGCAAAAGGTTGGGAAAGATCTGATTCTCGGGCTTTTGAGACGCCACGAAAATGTGAACGTGGTTTTTGGTGCATGGGAGCACTCGCGATATGCAGTCAAAGAACGAGGTAGAGTGTTGAGTGTCAGCCGGACTATGTCACCCCAACACAGGCGGGGAATTCATCTTGCAGCCTGTCTTGATCATGTCGGGGCCATAGAAACTATCCTAGATGATGAAGGGGGGGGTGTTGCTGATATCAAGGATTATTGGGGCCAGACGCCACTATTATTTGCCGCCCAATACGGCTCCCCGGCAGTCGCCAAGTTCCTTCTCAACCGCGGAGTCAACCCTAATTCAGCGCAAGAAGAGTATTCCGGGGATACACCTTTGATTATGTCGATTAGATTCGGTCATACTGAAGTAACTAGGCTTCTTATTGAATCAGGAGCCGACATAAACAGAAGGAACCCTCTAACAGGAGTCACTCCTCTAGGGTTTGCAGCAGAACGGGGATTTGAAGCAGTCGTCAGGTACCTTACTGGGCGAGGAGCAATTGCAAACCCTGGAGGGCTAGTTTCCAAAAGCCCTCTGGCCCTAGCAGCATTGAACAGCCATTGGTCAATCTTCGATTTCCTAGCCAAGCTCGTCGATGACAGTTTTATTAGGTTGAACTATCGCGACCTCTTGTGTTGTGCAGCTTCTGGTGGGAACAAATACATTACAACACACCTGCTTGAACGAGGCGACATTAGTGTTAAGTTGAAGATTTCAAGTGCCCAATACGCACTTTGTGGTAAATCATCTTGGGCTGATGACCCCAGAAGAATCGCCAGGCTTTCAGCTCTGGAAGTTCTCATCGCACAGGAGGGCGTCGATGCGAACTTCCAGTGTGATGGGGAAGGTCTTCTTCACAGATGCATAGACTCTCCTTGGCAAGAGGGCCTAGAGACAATATTCAAACTACTTTACCAATATGGAGCAGATCCAAACATCAAGGACAAGAATGGTCAAAGCTGCCTTGCCAAAGCCGTGACTTTTGATTGGGGAAACGAGTGGCCTCGGATGAGTCCTCTGAGAATCATCAGACTGCTGGTTGATACATATGATCAGTGGGGGAATATCCAAGGCCAGGACCGGAGCGGCCGTACCCCATTACACCGCGCTACCATGTCTGCCGTGGCGCTGGTGGAAGCCCCAGAGAGGAGCAATGAGTGCGAAGCAATAGTTCGGGCTTTGCTTGATAGGGGTGCAGAGCTTATCAGTAGAGACAGTACAGGTAAAACACCCCTTTCATATGCAGCCCAACTATCGCATGTCGCATTGGTTCAAATGTTTCTTTCGAGAGGCGCCGGTGCAGACGATAAAGACTGTGTTGGACGTACTCCGCTTTCCCATGCGGTGGATTTCGATCCCCAGAATTTTCGGGGGGTTTACGATAAACGCTCTGAGCAATTTGCAGCTCAGTGGCCCTTTACCAGCTTGAATGAAGTTGTTGAAATTCTTCTTTCGAATGGAGCCGATCCAGATTTCCGAGATCATGAGGGGATGACTCCCCTTCTTCGGGCAGAAATGAATTTGCCAGAGGATCATGAAGCTTTGAGAATGCTTCGGAAAGTTACCAGCAGCTAGACCTTTCACTTGGAATTTGGCCAGATGTGCTCGATGGTATCTTGTTGGCTGCTTTTGCTGTTTTTGCTGTCTCCATATTTGGCGCTGGATAATTTGTGCCTAATATTCATGACACCTATGGACCTCAACCAATCTTTTCTTTAGCAAGTTTGAATTGAAGAAAGTATTTCCCTGCTATTATAGTCCCATGACTACCAATTCTTTATTTAGATTACATATCAACGAAATGAGATACTTCTACGCGTTGGCATGCTGGACCCATACTATTTAATGTGACGTAATATTGATGCCTGCAAACTAAGGCGAAAGGCCCGATTTCCGTTGCACCCGCGATCCAAAGCCTCCCTGGTCACGCCACGTCTTCTGATATCGAATATCCCGTGTCACCCAGAGTTTCGGGTGTCCTTGCTACTCATGAAAATGGTGGGGACGAAGGCCGGTAAAACAGTGCGCCCTGCAGCATCCTGCACCGAGTGCCAACGGCGCAAACAGAAAGTAAGGACCCGAATTGTTTTTGGATACATGCGAACTGACTTCTAAACTAGTGTAGCCGTCAATGGCCATGCAATCATTGCCAGGCTAGAAATATACCACATGTCTGCAAATACCCTCAAAAACAATTAACGAAGACTGCTCATCTCCCAAATGAAACTACGCGGTAGGCCCCACGATGAAAACAGGCAGATAGTAGCAATACAGACAAGGGCAGAACTAACAAGAAGCAGAAAACCTTCTCTGAAAGGCAGAGAAGAGGAAGATCCCGCGTCTTCTTTTAACCCAGAAGACATCGAGATTACCGCAGAAGATTTACCTGCCCTCGCTGCGAAGGATGAACTCCGCAACCTGGGTTACATGCCTGACCAAAGTCCACTTTTTGGAAAGGCCGTTCCAACGGTAAGATTATCTATAAACGCATATTCTGATATCTAACGAATCCTTTTCAAGTCATCCACACCAGCATCGAAATTAGCTTCGGAGGCAATGTCCACCGAGCTGAAAAATGTCTCACGACTTTTGCCTCCTAAACCATATACAGGTCCGTTCACATATCACCTTGATCGACCTTTTACTAAATAGAATAGACATTTTGGTCCAGCGCTACCTGGAAGTCACCAATTTCAGTTACTATGCCTTGTACCCGCCGATCTTTTCTCGTGATTATGCGGCTTGGTGGTCCGACCGAGCAAGTGGGAAGCCACTCACACCGGAGTTTACATGTCTTCTCATTCGTGTTTGCGCCTGTTCATCTCAATATCTGAACTCTGAGATTCAAACAAGACTGGAGTCAGAACTCGGAGAGTCTGTCCAAAGTCTATCAGAAAGCTACCACCACGCTGCGAAACAGCTAAGCAATACGATCGCCCCTGGGAAAGGAGGTCTAGCGCAAATCCAGCAATTATTCCTGACCGCAGCCTGGTTCAAGTCTGAATCTCTTTTTGTCGAATCCTGGCATGCTTTGAGTTCTTGTATTCATGAAGCACAAGAACTCGGCATGCATAAAAAGGTCCAAAAGCCAGGGTTATCTGAATTTGAAATAGAGATGAGAAGACGGCTTTGGTGTCTACTATACACATGGGACTGGTGAGATTCTTCTCCATATTCACCAAGATATTGGATAAATTATCTGATGATTCCAGGCAAATGTCTATGTTGCTGTCTCGCCCCCTCATCATTAACCCAGCCGCTTGCTCCTACGAGCTACCAAATATGAAGTTGGAGACCTTGGATCCCGCAACTGGCCCGCCTTCTCCAGTATCCCACATTGCATCCCAATGCGAACTAGGTCAAATGATCACAAGAGACCTTACAGCAATGGGAGGCACGACTGATGTTATTGAAACCGATTCTATCAAATCAGATATAGAAACGTGGATAGATTCATTGCCAGCAGCCTATCAAGAAAACAACCCAGACACCCGGTGGGACGAAGAACATATATACGTGCCTCTCCAGCGTCGCCAACTACATGCCATAGGATATATGACCATGCTGTTGCCCTTCAAAGGGTATCTCGTCAAGACGTTTGACTCTCAGGCTTCTGACGTGGATAGAGCTCGCCGAGCATCTGCGATCGAAATTGCCCTTCATCTAATGAAAGTGTCGCATCGACTTTTTGACCATGTGTTCCCAGTAAACGCCAAGTTTCACCTGGTTACGTTCTTGATATTTGACACTGCGGCTTTCCTTTGCTCTGCTATAATCCACGACAAAGATCGCAGTCTTCCACAACGAGAAAATGCTTTTCAAGCAATTAAGCTCGCATGCTCCCTCATGGGTCAGCTCGCCTCGGTTACAAAAACAGGCGCGATCTGCTACCCAGTTCTCAACAGGCTCGCTAAAAGTCTATCACCGAACATAACGGCTTCGGTGAATGGTACTACCACCGGGGATATATCGAATGCTGGAACAATGACCTTTGACTCTTCGCCAGACTTCGACTTTCTTGATGCCGATAACCCAGAATCACTGTCTTTATCCTTGGGGCTCATGCCTGCCAATGGCATGTTCTTACCTAGTTCGGCAGATCTGGACTTTCCGATGGCCGGCATGGAAATACCACCTATTATGAGTGTTGGTGATTTCTCCAATATGGATGTTGGTCAATTTGATCAGATTTGGGACTGGCAAAATCTGGACTTGACTTTACTGCCCCTTCCTCATACAAAATAAAGCTGTTGTATCGGAATTTACATAGAAACGGCGGAAATCAAGGCCCTGTCGGGAAATTGACTCTTATTGTATGTAAGGGACCATTCCTAAACATCATGGGAATCACTCTCAGCATTGGGTATGACTAGTGATAGGGTAATTAGCATTGGGTGTGGTGAAGTCAGAGTCAGAGTTTGTAGTATGGCCAGATGAATTCCGATGGCTCCTTAAATATCAATTTGAGTCCTTCCGCCTCTTTTGTCTTGACTCAGGTGAACTAAGAATAAATCTTGGGAGCAGCTGTCTCTCTGGCGGATCTGGCGTTTTCGCGACAAGATGTGTCATAATGGATATAGGTGATTGAACTCATTCTGGGTACATTAATGCTACTTATGACAAAAGGAAGAGCCACAGTATGGAAACTCGCTCCAGACATATAGTCTAAGCATACTAGTACGAGAAGTTCATTGGGTCCAAATGGTTGATGGCTTGGGGCTACCACACAGGGGGCGGCTGTGTGGCTGTGTGATTGCAACCTTTTGACTTACGACTGAGTCACAATCTCTACTATCCATCTCTGCTTGTTCTCTATAAAGAGCCCCATGGCATGGAAACTTTGTGATTTTTTCATCCCTTCTTTGGCTTCTTTTTAAACAAGCCAAGTCAAGGCGTCCACTTTCACACGCGATCCAATGGCTGCCCCGCACCACCCATTGGGGCCAGTTGTTCCCATTCCCAAACCTATACCATCATCAACGGATCTGGAAGCGATAGTGGAACGATACAGAGATCTGAGGTTACATGGCCTCAAGGTTGATCCAGAAGCTTTCACTTCACTTTACGAAGACGAAGTCAAATTTCCATACAAAACATGGCAATCTCGAGTCGAGAACTCGATTGCCAAGACCCTTGTTGCCGTTGACCCCGAAACAAATCAGAGAGCACACATTGAAGAAAAGCCACATGCCGAGAAATTAAGCAGTCATTCTGCTAGTATTCAGCGGCTCCTGCGACAAGAATGGTTGGGTATTGCTACAATCATTGGACCTGTTCGCTTCTCGGAACAAAGCGACGATGCCATGGCGGCATCCGTGAAGCCGCAGCTCCACACTGCTTTTATCAAGGACGGGAAATATCAAATCCCTGATCCCTCGACTGTGGAGAAAGAAGACTTGAGTGATACCCATGCCGTATTCTTGATTGTGGGGCTGTTTATCTTGCCCCAGGCGCGACGGAGGGGATTGGCGGGTCGCCTGGTGGAAGCATCTATCAACTACATACGAGAGGAGGCTCGAAGAAAAAAGGTGTGCAAGGCAGGCATCTCAATACAGGTGTCACCGACAAATTTTGCAGCACAGGCCCTTTACCAAACAATGGGGTTCCATGTGAGTGAAAAAGCAATAGTGATGAACAGTCAGCAGGGAGAGGAAGAATATGTGATGGGGCTGGAGATGGAGGTCAACCTCGGATCTGAGTTCTAAATCCCCACCTGGGCATGGGATGGTATTTATTAATTTAATCTACTTGATTGCTACTAGTACTGCTTATATAGCTTTACTTCTCTAAATATTGTTTATCTCAACTTCTTCGTAGGTTGCGTGTTTACCCTTCCCTTCTCTTCTTCTGCTCATAATTTTAGAGTTCAATTTCAATTTATTTCTGTCTTTTTGCCGATTTGGGACCAGAGACGGGTTGGTCATATCCTACCAGGATTTCAGCAGCGATTCTGGGAATTTGTGAGAAAGAAAAGAATGGTCCGAGGACGCTTTTTACAGTGTGAAGCGGGGCGCTGTCGAATTTCGACGGAGGGAGCATACGACCAGATGGCTGGCCAAGACCGTATTGGTCTACTTTAAATTTGGATTCTGACAGTCTATCCTCACCTCATGGAGCTCCCAGATACCGATCATCGCAGCCAGCAACTCTAGTTGAAGCTGCTTCCAGAAGTGTAAGGCAGTAAGGCACCAAGGCAACGATAATCAATGCATTCACGTGACATGAATGATGAATCAGCGCTTCGTTCTAGGGCACCGCTAGTCCCGACTAGGCTTAGCCGCACACCACGCCCACAAGCGGAGAAATTTGCGGCTACTTCTTCTGCTCTTCAACGTTCGACGCAGAACCATACCATAAGAAAATTTCTTTTGGAAGACTGTCGCCATCATGTCCAAGATCACAGTCGGTATGTGCTACCTTATGCATGTAATCTGTTCACGATGACACTAGAGAACATTCGCTAACGCATTCAACAGCCGGCGTGCGTGAGAATATCCAGCAGTTGCTGGAGTACTCCCTCAACGAGAAGAAGCGTAACTTCCTCGAGACCGTTGAGCTTCAGATCGGCCTGAAGAACTATGACCCCCAGCGTGACAAGCGTTTCTCTGGCACCATCAAGCTGCCCAACCTGCCCCGCCCCAACATGAGCATCTGGTGCGTTTTTCCTCGCTCCCCGCCATCCTCCCTCCTAGTCGAGCCCTTGCTGGAACGTTCCGAGAATCGATCACCAGTGCGGCCGACAAGGATGATAGTGGACAGCCGACAATCTAGAATCAGAATATACTGACATTTGGGACTACAGTATTCTTGGTGACCAGCACGATCTCGACCGTGCCAAGCACCACGGTATCGATGCCATGTCCGTTGACGACCTCAAGAAGCTCAACAAGAACAAGAAGCTCATCAAGAAGCTTGCTCGCAAGTACGATGCCTTCCTTGCTTCCGAGGCTCTGATCAAGCAGATCCCCCGTCTCCTGGGTCCCGGTCTGTCCAAGGGTACGTTTTTCCAATTTCCGTATTGAGTCGTCTGCCAGACGAAAAGAATGGTTACTGACTTTTCCCACAGCTGGCAAGTTCCCCACTCCCGTCTCCCACGCCGATGACCTCCAGAAGAAGGTCGACGACGTCAAGTCCACCATCAAGTTCCAGCTTAAGAAGGTTCTGTGCCTCGGTGTCGCCGTTGGCCACGTCAACCTGACTGAGGATGAGCTCCTTGCCAACCTGATGCTCGCCATCAACTACCTCGTCTCCCTGCTTAAGAAGGGCTGGCAGAACGTTGGCAGCCTTGTCATCAAGGCTTCCATGTCTCCCCCCAAGCGCATCTACTAGATTCTCCGTCGCTTCATTGCGCTGGTGTAATCTGGGGATCCAACAAAATGGGTGTCATAGTTTAGTGACCACAAAAATATGAACTCACGATTTGGTCTCAACCATTTACTCCAGATTTACTCGTAATTGCGTAATTCAATATAGAAAGCTCTTTGTTTGTGGCCCTATTCGGCATCACGGTTGGGTACAGATATAATACAATGTGCCTTTCCCCCACTCTACTCTTTACTCCATGCCCTCCATCAGCTCCGTCTTATCCAAAATCATGCCACGCATGCCGATGAATTCGCGGAGGCTCTCCCACTCCTCTCCCACTTCCTCGCCGCGCATGTAAGGATCCTTAAAGCCCCATGCGACAGCAACCTTATCCATAGCAGCGCGCTCCTCCTCTCGCAACCAGCGGTAGCGCAAAGGAATTCCAGGTATCCATGTGACTCTCTCCATTTGATCATTGGCGGTGGTAATCGCGATGATTCCAATGGAAGAGGTGCCTCCAACATACGCTAAAGATGCAGCGAGGGCGATTCCCGTTGCGTAACTGGGGTCCATTGTGTTCTGGAACGTAGATGCGATTGATGCAAGGGCGTAGCAAGCCATGGGGGCTACCGCCAGACCACCCAAGGGGATACCAGCCTTTCTGACGATCTTAGCGCGGTGGAAAGCGGGTGCGCAGAAGGTGTTGTCAATAATGGCCAACACTAGAGAGAGGTTCTTTTGTGCGATAGCCACGTCCAAGGCCATGTTCGCAAGTTCGGCTGGAATGGCACTGCTCACATGTTTGGGGCTCGCTTTGTGGAATTTCGGAGGTGAACTGTTCTCCTCGGGGACTGGCTTGTTGGCATATAGATGGAAGACCTCTGGGAAATGCTCCGCTCGTCGCAAGAGCGTTTGTGTCTTTGTGTAGATCTCCAGCGCCTCCTCGTTAATGAATACCTTTTCGTCTTTCACGATTTCGTTGGCGATACGCGAAATTGCGTCGGCAAGACGGGGGTCCGGAGTTGCGGAGCCATTTGCTGCGGTGGCTGCTCGCGCAGATGTTCCCTTCTTCTCCTCCAAGTCCAATAATGAGGAAATGGCATTGTTTTCGCCATTCTTCGAAGCGCCATCAGGCTGGTCCTGCTCGCTCAAGACGAGGGATTGCGCAAGCTTCTCACACTTTGCCAGCAGCTGAACTACTGTGTCGTTGGAGGGGACTTCGTCCGCATTGTGCACGGCCGACGCTTCCTGTGCTACCTCCTGAATGGCCAATTCTTGAGCAGATGAGGTGGAAGCATAGCGGCGGGTTGAAATAAATGGAGAGGAGGCAGTCGATCGTACGCTGCGCTTTGGTAACTGCAGCGCAAGGCCGCTGTTCGAACCGCGACTTTCGGAAGCGGTTGGGAGTGGGAATCGGGTGATAGGCAGAGCGCGGCGCTGGGCGGTATTGGAGAATTGACAGAAATGACACACTTGACCTTGCGGTTTGGGGCCTTTTGAGACCCTCAAGGCGACTCTTTTCATGGCGAATGACGTGGTATGGAGGGGATGGTTCCAGGCGGCCCTTTTTTTCGACGAGTGGAAGGGCGTTTAAGGCGGAGAGTTCGCCCCGGCGGCCTGGACAGTCCAAGTCCACCACAGCCCCCATCGTTCTGACGTCTTAGCTTCTCTTCTGCCTTACAACTTACAACCTACAACCTCCTTCTGGTCAAGGAGTTCACCCACCTCCCGATACCATTCGAAAATATCTCATGCAGTACTAGACACTTTCCTCCTGCTTGTCACCAACGCCTTGTCGACATGCCTCCTCCCCCTCCTCCTCCCCCTCCGCCGCCGCCTGGGGGGTTAGGTGGCCCTCCCCCACCTCCTCCAGCAAACCTGCCAAATCGACCAGGCAAAGGAGAAGTCAAAGATAGAGTATGTGCATGATTTGAGGCCGA